CATTATTACTTTTTCAAAAACATTAAAATTAAAATATATCTCTCTATATTAAATGAACATCATTCTAGTTTACTCTAATATTTATATAATATAGCTCAATAATCTATTAATTATTTGTAAAATCATAATTTCTTGTAGGAGGTGAGTGGTTGTTTCACCCCCAATATATTTTAACTTGTTCATTCGATTCGAATGGAGACGAGGATTCCTCGTTAAAACGGGTCCCGGAGCCAGGCCCAATGCCGGAGATCCTCAATAGACTCAAATCGGGATTGGAGCCGAGGCCAGGGATTCCCGGTAGACTCAAACTAACGGATATTATTCATGAGGTTTGACAGGGGTTTGACCCGAGACGGAATGCTAATCCCCGTACCCACCGGGGCCAAGGATTACAAAACCCGCCTCATCCCCGCCCTGTTGCCATGCCTACCTCCAAATCATCGAACGATTTTAAACCTTCTACGATTTAGCAACATGAATGTAATTGAAAGTATTAGTTAACCTTTTTAATACATCGTGGTTAAAAAAATTACCTGTTTGGAAATAAATTGCTTGACTTCAACTTCCGTGACGGTGGTACCGTTCGATTTTACCACAAAAGCAACGGGAACCTCACCCGCATCCTCATGTTTCATTCTGAACACGTATATTTGTTAGCAATAAAACCCATAAACCCTAAACACTAAGAACCGAAGGTACAAGTGCCAGGGAACTCACGGTACAACGGCCGCATCTGAGATGTCGGGATGTGTGAGTAGCAATGCTTCGAGCTCAGCAGGAGCAACTTGAAACCCTTTGTACTTGATTAGTTCCTTCAGTCGATCAACTATGAAAAGTTCGTCATCATCATCAATGTACCCGATGTCTCCGGTGTGCAACCAACCATCTACAATAGTACTCTTGGTCGCTTCTGGATCGTTAAGGTAACCTATCAAGATTCAAAATTAGAAGGGTTAGGCTATGCTTGGCAAACTTGTTGTTGGCGATATTAGCTTATAAACTAGTCATGTTTGGTAAAAACTAACTGATAAATCGTATGAGAAAGTAAAATCACCTGGAAAAAAACATGTCGAAAAATCAACTTGAAAAATATAAGAGCATAATTGAAAGGGCAAATTGCATTAAAAAGTAATGTACTTTAACTTGATTTATATTTTTGGTAACGTACTTTCAAAACTTCTATTTTGGTACATAAGGTGTAAAGTTTTAAACATTTAAGTACCCAAGTAATCGGTTGAAGCCTTAACCGGTTAAACATGTTGAAGCATGAACCGTTTATAATAAGATATCCATGTCAGCAAATAATATTGAGTTGGATACCATATCACTTACCACATCAGCATGGTAATCGGTTAATGCTTCAACCAGTTATCCGAGTATTTAAAAGTTTAAAACTTTACATTTTAGGTGCCAAAATGGAAGTCTTGAAAGTACGTTATTCAAAATAGAAATCAAGTTAAAATACGTTACTCTTTCATGCAATTATCCTAATTGAAAAAATGGCAAGGAAAACCTTTAAACCTCATTGAATGTTGCTTGAAGTAACGTCTACAAAGCGAACAAATATGTTGTACCAAATTTTCACATCTTATCTTGGGGTGGACTAAATGCACCCCTATGCATTGCTTAATGCATCCCTACCATGAATTTCTTCCTCACACACATCAACATCAATGTATACTTTTTACATTCCCAATACTTGAAATGACCTGATTCTGACATGAAATAGGGTGCCATTAGCACTCCCCCTTATCTTTGTTCCACAAATGAAATTAAGACACATGATTTTTATGTATTTTAAATTTAGGAGCCACCTACCAAAATTACGTAAATCCTTGTGCATTTACATAAAACCTATTTTCATATAAAAGAGGAAAAAAAATTATAAAAATAAATAAAAAGCAAATATTGTTCAAACCGGTAATAAATACTTTTAAATGTTTTGATAAATAACTTATATTAATGTCAAACTAGTAATAAGAAGTTTTTAAAGAAGTTAAACCCTTCTCACTTACAATAATTGACAAATATTTTTATAAAAAAACATAAATTATTTCAAATAAGCAATCTCAAAGACCGCTAAATCTAAGTGACGGGGGATAACCAAATTACGTAAAACACAAAAGAAAGCAAGAATTCAAATGCACTAAATGCTATTTACCTTTCATGATCTGATCACCGCGAATGCAGATCTCGCCGCGTTGATTCCGAGGAAGAGAAACTCCGGTATCTGGATCCACGATCTTCATCTCCGCATTACGGACGACGGTGCCACAAGCTCCTGATTTGATCTCGAACGGTTCTTTCGCAAAAGCCAAACACATCGCCAGCACTGGCCCTGCCTCCGTCATCCCGTAACCCTACACGATTGTTACAAACAGGTGAGCAATCGATTCAAATTCTACAGATTATCTACCAATTTGAGGCAAAATCACTAGTAAATTTGAGGCAAAAATCACTTGTAGATTTGATTTTGTTTGAATCGAACTGATTAATTTACCTGTCCGAGTTTCGCATTGGGGAACTTCATCCTAACGGTGTTTTCAAGCTCTTTCCCTAACGGCGCCGCGCCGGACATCACCGTCCGTATCGAGGTCAGATCGTACTTATCCACCACTTCTTCGTTTTTCGCAATGGTTAGAACTATAGGCGGTACAACTGGTCCGATCGTCACTTTGTACTTCTGAATCAGCTCCAGAAATGGAACTATATGGAATTTCTGCATGATCAGGATTGCCGCACCTGCGCGTAATCCGCACAACAAGATCGAATTCAACGAGTAGATGTGAAACAATGGCAACACGCACATCAGCACATCCTCGCTGTGAATCCATAGATTCGGATTTTCGCCGTCGACTTGCTGCGCTACGCTCGTTACGAGCCCTTTGTGAGTCAACATGACTCCTTTTGGTAGTCCGGTGGTCCCGGAGGAGTACGGCAGGGCTACCACATCATCCGACGAGATCTCAACCTCAGGAAGCTCCTCCTCATCGCCGGAAATCAACTCCGAGAAGTGCAAACACTCCTCCGGAGCCGAATCGATACAGACGAGCTTAATAGAATTCTCCGATGCAAAGTCCTTCACCTTCGCCGCATGTTCCGATTGAGTAATGATAATTTTAGCGGCGGAGGCTTTGGCTTGCTTGATGATCTCGGCGGAGGTGAAGAACGGATTGGCCATGGTGGAGACGGCGCCGATGAAGGAAGCGCCGAGGAACGAGTAGACAAATTCCGGCGAGTTCGGGAGCAAAATCATGATGACGTCACCCTTGTTGATCCCGTGTTTGTGAAGGGCAGAACCGACTTTTCGTGAGGTAAGCTCCACGTCAGCATAGGTGTACACATCACCGGTGGCGCCGTCAATCAAACACGGCCGGTCACTGAAAGCGGAAATGTTTTCAAAGCAATACGAATGCAAAGAGAGATGCTTGGGTATATAAATGTCCGGCAGCCTTGACCGGAAAATGGTCTCCGACTTTGCCTCCATCGGAAAATATATTTGTGTTTTAGGCAGCGAGAAAACGGGTTTCTGGAATTTGTGTATGGTGGTTGGATATCGTTCATGAGGAAAAACGCTTATATGGGTCGTGGAGGTTGGTGGTGGCTCGGTCGTTGGCTGGGGTTGGTGGAGGAGGACAGAATGGACAATATGAAAAATGGAGGGGTTATTATTGTAAATAACAACATCACGAGAAAAACATTTACTTTATAATTTTACTAAGGGCCGTTTATCAAATGCTTATATGGGTAAGTATTTATCAAGTCACATTACCTTACCGGATGAATACAACAAGCACCAAGAATCTTATCCGGTAAGAAAGAAGACAATGACTGAGAGTCTTACCCGGTAAGTGATGATGACGATTTTTACCACGGTTATTGCTTACCAGGTAAGTTATTACATACAATGTCGTTTTGTCGAACTCAAATCTTACTAGATAAGTAAACAATAATGTTGAATTTTACCCGGTAAGCGCTTACCGGGTAAGTTTTTAGGTCGCCCCTAATTTTTCATACAAAACAACTAATTAAACTGCAAGTCACACTTTAAGACATTTTTCCTCGTGATTTCGTATGTTGCGACATGAGCTTGCAGTCTCACAACTTGTGACTTTGGCTTGTTTTTGCGCGTAGACGCAAAGAATTACGATACCGCAACTTGTGGCTTTTTAATGTTTTTTTTTGCAATTGACCCATATTTTCACTGGATGCTTCAGATTCGTCAATCAAAATAGTGTTTGGAAAATTGACCAAAATAACTAATCTCTCCAATCAAATTCATTTTTGGCCATTTTTTCATCAAATTCTCATTTTAGGCAGAGTTTACTCATATATCTTACTCATTTACGTAAAGCCTATTTTCTGATTTAAAAAATAAGAAAAAAAATCTTTATGTAAATTTACATAAGAATCCCCATTTGCTTAAATAATCTGCGTAAGATCTAAAAATCGGCTTTACTATTTGCATAAACTTTGGTTAAAATAGGAATTTCAAGTCAAAAAATGGTTAAAAATAAATATGATTGAGAAAAGTGACTATTTTAATCAATATTCTAAAATGTCTTACAACGGGGATGTTTGTTTAACTCTTAATATGTTTGACAATTGCTGAATGGCTTGGTGTAGAATGATTAAGTGGTCAGAATGATTAAGAAGTTCTCATGATATAGTGCAAAAGAAAATATAATTGTTTCGTAATTGTTTACAATGAAATTATGACGCTTAATGGTTAAGGGAGTTCCATGATACAAAATCATTGAGAGGGTTTTAGAACCATTAAGAGATAGACTTCTTTTTTTTTGCCAAACAAGATTCACCTCTAACGATTCAAATACTGCCTCTTAATAAAACTATTAAAAGACAAACAAACAACCCCAACATTGACTTACGGTTTTTTAGTTATTTAAAGTTATAAAATGGGTATAAAGTGTATGTTTTTTTTTCATGAGATAGCAATTTGATACAATAACCCAAAAAACGAGGGGGCAAAATGGAAATTATGAAGTGTGGTTGGTGAGATGGGGAGTAGGTGTTTCTGGTGAGATGGGGTCCACCACTTTGGTGTGGATCAGATTCAAACATCAAGTTGACTCGAGGACATGAGACCATATGAGCCATACATTATCTCCTCCTTTCTTTTGGGCTACCTACCACCCTACACCGGAGTTACATCTGCTCCGTCGCCGGCGATTGATTTTCCGGTCAATCACGGACTTCATTTATAATCAACATTTTTCTAATAGAGTAAATTACAAAAATCGTCATCTGGGTTTTGTGAAAACTTTTGTTTTTGTCTCTGATCTTTCAAAATTATAAGAACCGTTTAACGGTTTCGATTTCGTCACACCTAACGTTAGGGTCGTTAAGTTTTGTCCGTTAATTAACAAGTCGTTAAAATATTTTAAAAGATACTAATCTATACTGTATTATAAAATATTTGACAAAAAAATTCTTAAAAACAATTTTTTTTTATGTATGAAGTATTGTTTATTGATGCATATTACTTAAAATTAAGATTATAAGTAAATTGTGCGTAAGTACAAGTTATTAAAACTTCATGTTTGAATTCGTGTAACAAACTACAGATAAATATCTTATTTTAAATATAAAAAATCTAAAATATAATTAAGATAATCTTTGAGTTCTAACAACATACTTAATTATTATCTTTATAAAAATTATATTATAAAACATTTGACAAAAACTTTTAAACTTTTTTATGTATGAAGTATTGTTTATTGATGCATAATACTTAAAATTTAATATTGCGTACGTACAACTTATTAAAACTTCATGTTCGAATTCGTGTAATTAACTGTAAATAAACATCTCATTTTAAATATAAAAAATCTAAAATATCAATAAAAAAATTTAATTTTTTATGATATATATTCATATTTGTATTTTATTCAAAAATAAAAATATTAATCGCTTCCTCAAAACCACATAAAACTGTATTATAACATCGATTGTGACAAAAAAACAAAACATTAAAATCGATATTTATCGCGCTACATTATACGAGTACCATTTTAGTTTTCTAAATTAAATTATATGAATAAAAAATCTTGAAATTAAATATTTAAAAGAAATAAATAGTATTTTATTAATTATATTAAATATTTTAATAATATAATTAATATCGTAATATTTAAAATAAAAGGTTGTCATCAAAATCAAAATAATTTCTCTTTCAAAATTTTGACTTTTTACACGTAGATGCTCTTAATGATATGTGCATAAGTAGCGGTGATTTCCACAAATGAGTTGTATTATAGAGACCGAAAGAATGGCTTTTTATTGAAAATATCGTACGATACCAATAAGATTTAGGGGCTGTTTACCAAGCGTTTAACCGGGTAAATACTTACCAAGTAATATTATTTCACCGGATAAAAATAGTAAGGACCAAAAATCTTACTCGGTAAGAGCCAGACAAGAACCAAAAGTCTTACCCGGTAAGTGAGGGCGACGACTCTTACCACGATAAGCGCTTCCCTGGTAAATTGTTGCATATGTAGTCGTTTTGGTGGACTAAAATCTTACCCAGTAAATAAATGATAGTGTTAAATTTTACCGGTAAACACTTACCTGGTAAGTGTTTAGGTAAACGGCCCCTTAGTTAATTTATTGTATCTATACTATCTTATTAAGCAAATTTAGTAAAAGTCTTAAAATACTAAACGAACAAAATACCCTTTATACTCACTTTTTCACCTCCTCCTCTCATCACATACACTCACCATTTCACAACCGATTTTTTTTTTAAATTATAATTTTAAATTTACACTTTATACCCTTATAATTAATTAATTAATTTACTTTACGTTCTTTACTTTTAAATGTTTCATTTTAAATTTTTATCAAATTAACATACATAATCGTATATCAATTAAAACATGTTTAAAAATACATTTTTATTTTAACAAGTTACATCATTATAATCATCTCGTTAATACCTTCAAAATGAGTCCAATATTGAATAGTTTTTGACTTAATTATATTATTATATATTATATATACTGTAAAAAAATATTTTTAAGTCCAATATTGAATAGTTGAAATTTCATTCTAAAACCCATCTTTTTTTGTCTTTTCATGGCTTATGATCTGTCAAATTTGYAGTTTTYTTTATTGGTTTTGAGTGTTTATCTTAAAACTCAAGTTTCTTGGTTCTTTGTTCTTGGTGTAAATCGAATACATTTGTGGAGTCGTTTAAATATGTTGGATTTTAAATATATTGGATTTTAAACTGTCATACAAATTTTTTCATCGATAATCTGTATTGGAACCATAACTCTTATTTATTCAAATTGTATTAATATGTAAAGATCAAGTGTAACCTATATCATTGTTAAATCTTATCTTTCAAAATCGTTAAAATTCATGGCTCTCGCCGCATTGCGCGGGTACACAACTAGTCATATTATCATATACATAATAACGTAATAAATGTTATCCAATATTTTCATCTATTTTAAAACGTTCAGATAGCTCGACTGGTTAAACCATGCTATTTATAGTAATATTGTATTAGATGGAAAAAAAAAACATTTCAAAAATTGGTAAAAATATAACGTAAAACTTTTACATAAAAAATACGATGATTGAACACGTTACAAATTTGATTACTACGACTTAAAGTTGGGTTTATAATGTTTGAAAATTTAACGTGGGTCTTTTTTTAGGACGAAAATTACAGATGGTAAAACGGGTGAATTGGATAAGTCTATATTGGTCTGGATTAAATAGGTTAAAAGAATTATGTATGTTAGTCGATGGGGTTTGGTTGATAAAGATGGTCAAAGATGGACTTGGATCAGACCCAAATCGGTTTCGGTGTATGGAAAGCCAATTTGTAATCGGTCTGGTTAAACCTAGTCTTGGTCCCAACTAGAGATGGTCAAATGGGTCCAGCTCGAGACGAGTAGGGATCGGTCAAGACCCACCAATTACCCGGCTATGGTATTTAGTGGAAAACATGACCCTGTCCAGACCTAGACCTGTTATAGGACTGATCCTAGACCTAAATTCTTGTATAGCCTCTGGTGTCAAATCCAGGTCAATTTCTATAAAAAATTAAAAGAATTTTTTATACAAGAATATTATACAAGTTTTTTGAAATTATAATATTAAAATTAAATATTAAAATACACTTTAAATAGTGTATTTACATTAAAAAAAATCTTGAAAATAAAGTTGAAATATAACTTTTATTAATTAATTATTATAAAAATAAATGTTTTTAATATTTTTTAAAACCTTAGTTTATACAATACTACGAAATCCCGAACAACCTCTAAGGATTTCAAAATCTTACGTTTATAAGATTTCAATTAAATCATGAGATTTCAAATCCGAACAATTCAACAAATAAAACATAGGATTGGAGTGGATTTGAAAATCCAAATCCCCCAAAATTCATTTCATTCCGGCAAACTAAATGGGACCTTAGAATAATGATAGAGATGTAAATAAGTCGAGTCCGTAACAAGTTTTTTTTTTTCACTACCGATTATAAATAATATGCAAGATCATATATATCATGTACCAACCAATTGTACTTGTTGATTACCCTTTTTCCGGTACGGTACATATTAGTCGACTATGTTGGGTGCAACTTTCAAGTGTACGGAAAACGATTTTTATTGAATTATATATTTCAAAATTTCGTAATTTTGATGATAACAAACAAAACCAGATATATTTTCAGTATTGAGGGACTGTTTGTTGGTTGCTAAATAGTTTGGTGCATAATGATTATATGGTCAGAATGATTAAGAGGCTCTTATAATATAGTGCAAAATAAAATATAATTGTTTAATAATTATTCAGAATGAAATTAGGATGCTGAATGGTTAAGGAAAGGTCAAGATACAAAATCTTTAAAGGGTTTTAGAAGTATTCAGAGGTAGACTTTTTTACCAAACAAGATTCATCTCTTAACGATTTAAAAATTGTCTTTTAATAAAACTATTAAGAGGTAAACAATAAACCCCTAATACTTTAATAATCATTGTGATTGCGTCAATAAAATTTTCTGTCATATTGATCCGATAAAAATTGCCCGCTTTGACTCGTTAACAAGTTGGGTCGGGTATTAATTTATATTCATTTTGGACCACAAATGTTAAAATATTGTGAGGGTAGGAAGCTGAATGTAACATTCATAAAGTTAAGGGGGCAGAATGTAATATGGTAACATTTGAAGGACCATAAATGGCGATTTTATGGTATCATGTAAATGTAATATAACTTTACAATTGGTAATGAAAACTCCTGAATGTTATAGCATAAGGGGTATAACAACACCATCATTAGTTCATTTAAACTTTCATTTCCCGTTTCGATTCGATCCCGTTTATGTTCAAAAACTCGACTCTTCGGTGCTCGGTCGCCTCAAAAAGTATCGTAAACTATTGGCTACGACCTGCCAAACCGTTGCATTTAAGAGAAATATCTCGAAAAATATTGTAAGTTAGTTAATTACTCCCTATGTTCCTAAATAGATGTCCACAATGAAAAAGGCATACAGGTATTTTAGATGACTAAATGACAATTTTACCCTTGATAACATATGGATTTATCAATTTCACGATTAAGGGTATAATTGGAAAGTAGGCAAGCGCTTATTTTTGAAAGTGGACAGTTATTTTGGGACAAACTGGCATCGAAATGTGGACATCTAATTTGGAACGGAGGGGATAGTTTAATAGCGTCGGGTTGTACCTGTTGAAGCGGTTTGATGAGAGCTTTTCCCTTGTAATTGACATGGAACTTGGCCTTGGCTAACAAACCCTACATCACGATGTCGTAAAGATCGTTGTTAAGTGACTTGATCGTGGTCTCAAGATTCTCGATTTGTTCAAACCAAACGATTCGGTATATCCCACCCGGAGGCGGGGTCCAGAGGGTATGATGTACGCAAACCAATATACCCCATCCGGAGGCTGGGTCCAGAGGGTATGATGTACACAAACAAGTATAACTCATCCAAAGGCGGGGTCTTGAGAATATGATCTACAGTTTTGGTCCCTTGTACTTTAAAAGTAAGAATTAGTCCAGGGACGAAATAGCAACAAATTGTAGACCAAAGGGACGAAAAGCGTAATTTCTAAACCACAAGAACGAAAATCGCAATTATTAACAAACCATAGGGACAAAAATCACAATTTACTCTAAGACCAGACCTGACTTCTACCCCAAAGATTTTTGATTGTTTGACCGCAACATCAGAACAAACTAAACCATGAGGTCGGTTTGGTTCGGTTTTCGGGTAATAGTGAGTATCATTGGTTTAAATTCAATGGGATGGTAATTGTACGGGTAAGCGGATTGTCAATGAATGGTTACTCGATTGGATGAGTTCGGTTTTAATGGATTTTAGACTGCAATCCAAGAACCAACACATCCAATTTGGATGTGGAACTTTTGGATCCGATCCAATTAAGGTTGGTCAACTTTAATTGGATCGGATGACTTTATGTGCACCTATTGGTAGTATGGTTCAAAACGTTTCAAACCAATTGACCACACCGAGCCGAACAACTAGTTCGGTTCAAAATGTGAAATCTAACCATACTAAACTAGACCAGCTAGAGTTAAAATAAAATTCAACCCAACCAGAAAACCGGGATTCAAGTCTTCAGAGAGGGTTTATTGTTACCTCGGTATCGAACTCTCCTGACTCTACTGCAACGTTTATATCGGTGACCATCTTCACAAGATCGACCAGTAATCCGGGCCGATCTGCTGTCTCCACTGAGAGCAGACTGCATAGTACAACATCGAATATATCATACATATATATATATATATCACGTATATATAGGGTCAAGTTCAGAGGAAAACCGTAAAAATAATGAAAAAGTGAGAAAGACTTTGGTAACCGTTCACCCGCACGGCATAGAAACCTAGAAACATCTTCAAGTACTTATAACATATGCATATTGTACAGATGAACGGGTGTTCTTCAATTTTTCATCTTTTTTGGGGTTTTCCCCTTCAACTGGCAAATAAAGGCTAGGCCTTCGGAGTCCCCCCATAGGTCGCCAGTTTGAGTCTCCTTAGGACTACTGGAATTTTTCAGACTGTTATCTTCAGGGCCCATGGGATTAATCGAGTTGTGCGCATGCTGAACCGGACACGCACGATTACCAAAAAAAGGGGTCGGTATTTGATTTTTAGATGTCAAATGAGTTTCTTTGTGACGTTAAACGACAAAAAAAGACTCCCAACTTTAGGATCAAGAAAATGTAGGATTACCTTCGATCGGGACCATCATCGTATACCTGGATGCGGGTTGCAATATCGACGTCAAGCTGAGGTAGTTCAACACTTGTTAGGAAAGACGAATCAAACAATGATGTAGTAAATATTAGCCAAATGTCTAAACTGCCCTTTAGTACGATTCAAACTTCAAACAGAGGAAGCTTATGAACCGAAGGCAAAACTTCCACCGTCCCAAAATAAATATCCACCATGCAAAAGGGGTACAACTTTAGAAATATGTAATTGTTACACTTTTAACTAAATGACAGTTCTACCCTTAAGAACAGAGGGAGTTATGACTTTCTCCATCTCATAATGAAGGGTATAATTGAAAAGTTGGCACTTACTTTTAGAAGTAGAGACTTATTCTAGGACAAGCTAAAGAAGAATATGGACATTTAGTTATTTAACTAAATGACAATTCTACCCTTGCCAACAAAGAGAGTAATGACTTTCTCCGTCTCATAATTAAGGGTATAATTGGATAGTTGGCACTTTGCTTTTAAAAGTTGACACTTATTCTAAGACAAGCTAAAAAAGGAACATGGACATTTAGTTGTTTAACTAAATGACAATTATACCCTTAACAATAGAAGGAGTAATCACTTTCTCCATCTCATAATTGAGGGTATAATTGGAAAGTTGGCACTTACTTTTAAAAGTAGACACTTATTCTAGAACAAACTAAAGAAGAAATTTGGACATTTAGTTATTTAACTAAATAACAATTCTACCCTTGACAATAGGAGTAATGACTTTCTCCATCTCATAAGTAAGGGTAGAATTGGAAACTTGACACTTTTAAAAGTGGAAAACTTATTTTACAATGAGCTAAAATAGTAATATGAACATTTATTTTGGGACGGTGGGAGTAACATTAATAACATGCAACAATGAAAAAAGGGTAAACAGGTCATTTTTGCGAGAAACCGAGAAGACTTGCAATCTTCACTCAATATCCCACGACGGAAATTACTTTACTTTGTGTATGAAATAATAATTTTTCACGGAAATACGGTATTTAGTCCTCGGTTTACATCTCAGTGAGGCGGCAATTAGTACCTTTTCTTTTGGTGCTTCGACTCCAAAGGCTTCTCCCATGGCTAATTGGGCACTTGATTCCTAAACCATCAATGAATTCAAATTCCTCATAACAATAAAGTCAAGGGTGTGCTTAGGGGTGTAAATGAGTCGAGCTTTTAACGAGCTACTCGAGCTTGAGTTTAATAATTGTCGAGCTCAAGTCGATCTCGAACACAAATAAAACTCGCTTAACTCAACGAGTCGAGCACCACAACACCAATGTTCGACTCGACTCATTCGAAAGCTTGATTAAACTCTACAAGTTGAGCCGAGTCGAGCCATTCGAGCATAAATTTTTCGAGCCAAACATATTTAAATGTCTACAAATTATATACTCGAAATATAAAAATCATCGAGCTTGAGCAAATAAGGAGTTAATGGATCTCGAGTTCGAGCCTATAAACGAGCATCGAGCTCGAGCTCAAACATTGAAAAAATATTCGAGCTCGAGTGCAACTTTGAAAAGTTAATCGAGCTCGAGCCCAAGCCCAACTTTGAAAAAGTTGATCGAGCTCGAGTCAAGCTCGAGCCTAATAATTATTTTTTGACTTGAGATCTAATAACCTGCTCCTCGAATCGACTAGACTCGTTTACACCCCTAGGTGTGTTTGAGCATGGATGATGAATTGGTCATACCGGGTGATATTCAAGAAGATTGCTAATAATTGTCAAACGGATCGCCTCAAGCAACTCAGGGTCATCAACTTTACGGCCGGTTGTGCTGCAAAGAAATCATGTTTCTATTAAGATATGTCTGGAATAAGATGGTTATATATGGATAACAGATGGAGTATGACATATCCAATTCAGTCGTTTCAGCTCTTCCAAGAAAATATAAGCAAAAACAAACACCGCTTAATTGCTAAACGAACAAGTCATTAAACTCGTTAAGTATCTTTATATTCGAAGAGAAGTAGAGAACTAAATACAAATAGAATCATAAAGACTATCGAAAAGGGGTCTATTCAAGAACACTGTTTAGATTCAGTCATTCATTTATGAACACATCAAAGTGAATGCATCATTTAATGAACCACGAGCGATAACCGATAGCCAAGATATTTTAGTCATGGTCAAAAAGCATATATAAGCACTCACCGATTAAGCAAAAGCATCAAACATGTTGTTAAGATATGTAGAGCCCCTTTGAATCTCTCTAAAAGATCCCTTATATATATACACGTTTGATGGTCTGTATATATAGGTTTGATGGTTTGTGTGTATGGGTTTAATGGTCTTTATATGTCTATATATACATACATTGGAAGGTTCAAATGAGACGCGCAAAAAAGTTGAGAAGGTGTGAACTGAAGGTTCATATGTGAATCATTGGTAAACCCGAAAAAAAATCCATTTAAACATGCATATGTGGACCCACGATTGCTTGACTATCTTTTTACCAATTATTTGCATATGAAGACGCATATGTGAATCCACGTTTTCTTTTACCAATGATTCACATATGAACCTTCGATTTGCACCTTCTCAACTTTTTTAGCTTCTCATTTAAAACTCCCACATATATATAGGGTCAAATTCAGGGAAAAACCGCAATTAAATTAAAATATGAGGAACACCCTGTATATGTGTGTGTGTGTGTGTGTGTATATATATAGGACCAAATTCAGGGAAAAACCGCAATTAAATTTAAAATTTGAGGAACACCATGGTAACCCATTATCTAGACGGTATACACATGTGCATACAAGTAAATTTTAAACAATTTGTCCGGTATGCACATGTGTATAAAAATCAAGAAACAACTTCAGTTACTTTATGCACATGTGCATACCTTCCAAATAAATGGTTACTGGAGTGTTCCTCAATTTTTCATTTTTTGGGGGGTTTTCCCTGAAACTCCCTCTATATCTCTATATCTTTATATATATACACACAACACACACAGTCACACACACACACACACACACACACACACATATATATATATATATATATATATATTAATGATGGTAATTGTCTAGCCGATATGGACTTCAATACATGTTAACAAAGAAAAGACATCTTAAGTTAACTACTTACGCTTTAGTGATCGAAAACGTGTTGTGCTTCCCAGAAGAATCCAAATGAACGTTTGCTTTGACAACGTTCAGTCCAAGATTTTTGAGAGCATTCATCTGCACATACATTTCCCAGTAATCACCGAACACACAACTAGTTTTTCGACTAATCACCAAATCATATACCAAAAAAACCGAGCATTCAAACGACAAACTTAAAAGGTTTTCATACAGTATCAAGAAGAGCTCCAAGGCGATCCCCGAAGGTAATCTCCACCACAGTTGCATTCGGGTCCGAATCCTGGTCAATTATCACTTTGGGTGTCGGAACCACATCGGTATCCTGATAACTTCCACCCTGCAAATCGAATCCCCGATGAATATACAAATCGAAATCAAAAAGTATCTACAAGAAACATTACCAAATCCCTTGCTTAATACCTCAATAGCTGTGGCTGATGCTTTTGGAATCATAGTACTCAATGAATATGACAATCTGGGTAAAACCCCAAATCAGAAATTAGAACAAATCGGACATAACTTTTGTGTTTTCGATCCAATATGACCCAAATCGCACAATTGTCATTTACTTTCAATACTTTGGATCAGTTCCGTAGTAGAGAAGTATCATCCGCGGATGATCAATCAATTAGAACCCCAATTCGAGTGGAAACAAAAGCTACAGAAATCAGCAAACCGTAACGGCTGGTGGCAATTTCAGCAAATACTAACAATCCCCAACTTCATACACGCAAAATTACCAAATCTACTTGCATTCAATCAGAAAACCCACGAAGATTTTACCAATTATTAACCAAATATAAACGGAAACCGTCAAGTTGATTGAAGTACTCGATTGATTCTAGAAAACCCCCAATTGAGGAAAGTAATTTATCAACATGGAATCGAGAGGCGTACCTTGATCTTGAAGAAGTGCATAGATGTTTAACAGGATCTGAACCAGAAGAGCAACCGAAGAATGCAGTTTTGGAAATGGATTGTTTCTCAAATGCCACCAATTTGGTGTAAGCACCGATAGTACAACCACAGGAAGCCATAGCCACAGCCATACCCAGAAGGAAGAATGAAAGAAGAAAAAAAACTAGAAAATGGTGGATTGAGAACTAAAGGAAGAAGAAGATGGGCATGGCGATAATCGTGAGGTGGGAATGGGTACGGATATGGTGGGGACAAAAATGGAAGCGTGTGGATTGAAGTTGAAGGATAGATATAGCTTTTTTTTTGCCCACCAATCTAGTGGTATCCGCCATTTCTAAAAGAGTATTTCTTTATGAACTCCATATTTATAATTATTTTTTTAAAATTTTTAATTTTTCTTTTTAATTATTATATATTTTATATATTGTTTTAAATAAAATCATGTGATTTGGAAAACTTATGGGTCGTTTACCAAACGCTTACCTGAATAAATGTTCACCAAGTCATCTTAGAGGTTGTTTGGCAGTTGTTGAATGGTTTAGTGCAGAATGATTAAGTGGTCATAATAATTAATAGGCTTTCATGATATAGTACAAAATGAAATATAATTGTTTGCTAATTGTTTACAATGAAATCAGGGCGCTTAATAGTTAAAGGGGGCTCAGGATACAAAACCATTCAGAGGTTTTAGAACCATTAAGAGACAGACTTTTTTTTGTCAAACAAGATTCACCTCTTAATGATTCAGATGTTGTCTCTTAATCGAACTATTAAAAGGTAAACAAACAACCCCTTTACTTTACCAGGAGTTAAGAGCGTGACAATGACCAAAACTCTTACCTGGTAAGTGAGGGCAACGACTTTTACCACGGTAAGCAATTACCGGGTAAATTGTTGCATACGATGCCGTTTTGGTTGACTAAAATCTTACCCGGTAAGTAAATGATAATGTTAATTTTACCGGTAAGCGCTTACCGGGTAAGTGTTTGGTAAACGGCCCCTTATTAATAGTGAATTACATTGTTGGTCCTTGTACTTTATCTGTTTTTTTGGTTTATAAATTTCATTAATTTTATCATCAGGTTTCATCTAACAAACTAACAGATAAACTAACTGGTAAACTAATGAAGTTTGGTAAAAACTAAAAAGTAGTTAAGTTAGTTAAAGATTGCAAAGTGATCAAAAAGTGCATATTGTAAAATTAATCAATTTTAATATTTTATAATATATTCAAATAAATTATTAATCAATAGAATTTCAATTTATTTCATGTTTTAGAGCCAAAATCGTCCCTTGCCTTGGCGAGTATTTGTTATGTCACATGTTGATGTAAGGGGTGTTTTTGTCTTTTTTTATATTTTAAAAAAATAATTGTAAGAATGTAAGAAAAATAATTGAAAAAAAAAATAGAAAACATCATCATGTAATATGGTGTATGATTTGTTTGAGCTTGGGCTTCAAATGTTAAAAGTGCATGGTGGTTCCAGATTCGAATCCAAGAAGGAATAAAATCTTCTTGTGGCCATGGAGATTCAAATACGGTGATTTCAGGCTACCCGCAAAGCGGATGGTAGGTCTGTTCATTTGTTGACATCCATTGGATGTGAGGGGAACGAAACTGATTCAATCATCTATTGGACGTTGGATTTTACCAACCGATCCGGTATGATTAACATTGGATAACCGATCCATTCAAATCTAATGGATGATTGGATTGATTCGATTCCATCCGTTTGATACTTTTATTGGATATCCATCAAATATCCAATGGATGATCTATTGAGATTGGATCCATCCAGCGTATTAATTCAATCCGATTCTTTAACAATGATACAAATTGATTAATCACTTTTAATATGTGTTAAGTCCAATACAATGGAAGTTAAAAATTCAAATCCTCACATATCAAATTCCGATTTAAGAAATTTGAAAATAAATTAATTGGATAATGGTTGGATGGACATCTGGATGGTCATCGGATGATTAACTGGATGGGTAATTAAATGATGATCGGTTCGGTTCTGGACTGTCATATGAGAACCGACTGATCCAAAATGGATGTTGAAAATTTCAATCTGATCCAATCCAATTACAATTGGATATTTACTTATGGTCGGTCAGTTCTAATTGGATCAGTCGGTTCCAATTGGATAGGTTGATTTTCTACACACCCTTAACGAATGGCCGCCCTATGATTACTCGACTCGTATATTAAATATCCAGATCAATAAAAAAAATGATTTTATTCTAAAAAAAAATTGTGTCCACAATACATAAATGTGGACCTATTATGCAATAAGGCAAAACAAATCATTGCATTTTAATGATAAAAAGGGACGAATAAATCACGGTTTTAGTCCCTTGTGTTTGTTCAAAGTTACGACTTCGGCCCCTATGGTTCGGAAGTTAATTCTTATAGTTTGTAGTTCATTATTATTTTTGTTATTGAAGATAACTAATGGCTTAAAGTATCAAGGATGCTTATAAGAGAGAATGTAAACATAGGGAGGGAAAGAACAATAAATTTGTTAATCACAATAACAAAAAAAAATAATAAATTATAAATCATATGGATTTAAATTGTAATTTTTCAAAAGTAGATGGACGAAAATAGTAATTTTCAACAAACCATGTGGACTCAAAACTAGGGGTGTGCATCGGGCGGTCGGGTTGGTTCGGGTGGGAAAATCAAAACCCCCGGTCGGATTATGGATACGGAAATCAAGCCCCAATTTTTGGATTTCGGGTTTCGAATTGCTTCGGGTTGGTCGGGTTTCAATTGAGGCCGGTCGGGTTCGGATTTAATTATAAATGCAAAAATTATATATATCCAATCGATTTCGAGGATTGATAAATCGATGGTATGCTTATAAATTATGAAAAAAATGATCGACTAAGATTTTTAGATTTTTCAAAAGATTGTTAGATAAATAAATATATTTGTGTGTGTGTGTGTATATATATATATATATATATCGGGTTTTCGGACGGATCAGGTGGCCAAAAATCAAACCCAACCCGAACCCGAATTTTTTCCAAAAAGTCGGTTTTCGGATTTTTGGGACATTCAGAGTTTACATAAATATCTTATTTTCAGTTCGGATTTGAATTCGGATTTTGGATAATTCGGGTTTTGCATACCAATGCTGAAAAACACATTTTACTTAAAAGTGATACGTTGGTGTTCACATAAACAAAAATAGATTGTAGGAAAAGCAAAAATCTAAAAAAAAATAAAAAATTTATCTCTGTCAGCTTATCTATACTATATTATAAAGTATTTGACACTCTTAAAAACCACTTTTTATACGTAAAGTACTGTTTATTAATGCATATTACTTAAAACTCAAGATTGCAAGTAGATTGTGCGTAAGTACAACTTATTAAATCTCCATATATGAATTCGTGTAACTAACTGCAAATAAACATAATCAAATACATGATAAACATCTTATTTTAAATATAAAAAATATAAACTATAATTAGGATAATCGTTGAGTGTAACAGAATACTTAATTATTATATTTATAAAATGTTATATTATTAAACCAAAATAAACTATTTCGTTACTAAATTTAAATTAAATTAAAATAAAAAAATAAATTAAGGAAATTACATAAAAATGAGAACTTTTAAATAGTTGATTTGATACTAACATTGATATTTTTTTTTCAATTTTTTATGATATATTCAAATTTATATTTTATTCAAAAATAAAATCATTATTGTTTTCTTAAAAACGCATAAAATTGTATTATAACATCGACAACGACAAATAATAAAATAGAACATTAAAATCGAGATGTGTCTCGCTGCATTGCGCGAGTACTCTTCTAATATGTGTCTTGCTGCATTGCGCGAGTACTCTTCTAGTTTATTTAAAGATTACAATAGAAGTTATATTATTAAAAAATTCAATATATTTCATAATATTATTTATCTCACTTATACATTTAAATTCATATTTTCTTTTTGAAGTATATAATATTTATATACGGCAAATATAACAAATAAATCACACTCTCCTCAACTTTTATAACATATTATTGCATGATTGGTCCCCATATTATAACTTTATTTAAAAAAAAAGACAATTGAAAATGGAGGACCATACGACACTTATCTTTACCTATCAAAGTGTCGAGTATTGACCCGCAATAATGATGTTTTTGTTGCAAATACACCAAGTTGTCCCTTCCATTATTTACTCGTCTTTTTCTATTTCTATTTTAAACACGAGGTGTATTGAGTGTCTTGTTGCGTTCATGGTTTCATGTATAAGAACGTTACTCATACGCAAACGCAACAACAACGTTGTTTAAAAAAGTGTAGGGTTATGTAAGGTTGTGGACTTGGTACGATACCAAGTTTCCCCCCCTTCAATATCGTACATGAGCCTTTTTTAACCATTCAGCGCCCTAATTATATTGTAAATAATTACCAAACAATTATATTTCATTTTGCACTATACTATGAAAGTCTCTTAATCATTATGACCACCTAATCATTCTGCATCAAACCATTCATCAACTGTCAAACAACCTCTAAGAGGTTGTTTATTTACCTCTTAATAGTTCAATTAAGAGGCAACATCTGAATCGTTAAGAGATGAACCTTGTTTGGCAAAAAAAAAAAAATTATGTCTCTTAATAGTTCTATTAACCCCCTGAATGATTTTGTATCATGGGTATTCCTTAATCATTCAGCTATTTAATTCCATTACAAACAATTACCGAACAATTATATTTCATTTTGCACTATATCACGAAAGTCTTATAATCATTTTGTATCAAATCATTCAACAACTGTCAAACAACCACTAACTTTAACCTTTAGGTACGAGAGATGAAAAAAACAATTAATTTTAAACCACATGGACAAAAATAACAATAAGTTTTAAATCTTAAGGATGAAAACAATAATAAATTGTAAACTATAGGGATGAAAATCTTAATTTCAAAAGTACCAAGATGAAAATAATAAATTTTTAATCACAGGGACTAAACATGTCATTCACTATAAAAAATACAATGCCATTATTATATATTTTAATCTTTTTTTATTAAGAATAAATTACGTCTTGTTTTTCATTCTTGTGGTTTGTTAAATTTTTTATAATTCCCGTCCCTGTGATTTAGAAATTATTTTTTTTGTTTCTATGGTTTGTAATTCATTGCTATGTTTGTTCTTATGACTTATAATTTATTGTTGTTTTGATCCCTATAATTTACAGTTTGTTACTATTTTGGTCCTTTGTACTTTAATGTAGGAATTAGTTTAGGGATTGAAATAACAATAAATTAAATCCTAAGGATGAAAATCATAATTTCAAAACTCCAGGGACAAAATGTGAAATTTCCAACAAACGATAGGGACAAAAATGTAATTTAGTCTTCCGTTAATAACAAAGCGGGGAACATATATTATGGTCCAATTCAGTTTCCAAAATCCAGTCCCGGCCCAACAAACCGACACGAAAACGAACAGGATCCGGAGCTTGCAAGGGCTTACGAAAATGGAGAAATCTTGCAAGGGTTGGCTATGGAATTGGTGGTGGTCAACGACGGTTCAAATGGCGATGGTTGATGGTGGTTCAGATCGACGATGGTTATATTGAGTTTTACGAAATTATGGTATATTGGTTTAAAAACATATTTGATATTACAAGTCAATAAGTGGTTTTTACGGACAATATCAAACACCCCAAAATTCTTAAAATTTCGTCCACATTAAGGCCCTGTTTGTTTTTACCTAAAAAACACTTAATACCCTCTTATGTCTGAATTGGTCAGATCTTAGGTTATTAAGTGTGTTTGTTTTTTTTCTTTTCAATTAAGAGCTTAAAAGCTCTTATTATGTCTGAATTATTTAGAGGTAACATTTTCAGTTAAAACATCTTAATTGCTTTTAGAGTTTCCAATGCTTACAAAGAAAGCCTAGATTTCAATGATTCAGATTTCAGATTTCAGACGTAAAACAAACAGTCTGACTGATTCAGATTTCAGACTTCAACACCACCTCTTAAAATTCAGAAATGAATTTAGACTAAGGGGGTGTTTGGGATTGCTTATTAAAACAACTTATTGACTTATTCCGGTGTGGCACCGATAATAAGCACTTTTGAGTGTTTGGATAAATGATTTATACCGGTATGGCACCGGTAATAAGGAGTTTTTAAAAAAGTTAAACCCTTCTGACTTATAATAAACTGATAAGTGCTTTTATAAGAAAGCATAAGTTATTTCAAATAAACAATCCCAAACACCACCTAAATACCTCTCCGAAAACAAACGCCACCAAACAATCTACCGACAAAAAGCTTTCAATTTCCTTTTCCGCCACCGTATGATTTGCCAGTAGGATGACTCGTGTGATCGAAACCGCTGCCTCCGTCGACTCCGCTTACGTCGCCGGAGCGCCGTCCTCCATGGCCACCATATCCGCTTTCCTTCATTCCATTACGGCGGAAAGCCAACCATCAACAACATCGACAGCTCCTTCGTCGGAATCAAACCTAATCAAACAAGAACATCCAGACATGACGAACACTCACATCGTCGATTTACCACCACCGCCGTTCATAAATTCCATCAATGGTCTCCGCACCCTCTCCACAGCATTGTCCACATTCCTCCGCCGCTACGACGAGTTACATGATCACCTCAATTTCATCAAAACATCAATCGACTCGAAATTGCCAAATCACCTCCTCTATACCGATAACCCTAACCACTGCGTAACTGCCTTAACGGAAGCCTCCTCTGTTGATACCGTAACCGCTGCTCCTGAAACAATGGCCACAGAACAAAACCCTAAGGGAACTGCAAATAATTGCGGACGGAACCATGGAAACGTGAGGAAGCCTGAAGGCTCCTCGGAGAAGTCTGAAGAAAATGATACTTCGGAGAACCGTGAAGAAACTGAGATTTTGAAGAAGCCTGAAGAAATTGATATCTCGAAGAAGCCTGATGTATCTGAATTGGAAAGCCATTGTGAACGGATGTCTGGTCGGGGGATGAGGAAGTATGTAGTCAGAAATATTTCTGACATGAATAAACTCCGCGAAGAAATTCCGAAGGCATTGAAACTAGTCAAAGATCCTGCAAAACTCGTTCTACAGAGCGTTGGGAGGTTTTTCTTATCGAGCAGTAGATCATTCGCAGAGGGGTCGAAGATGGCTGTGGTAAGGCTAGCTGCAGTTTTGATTTTGGAATGCTTTGTGATGATAAGCAGTGACGGCATTGAGATTGCAAAAGAAGAAGAAGAATATGCAGCAAAAGCGGCTGTTGATTGGAGGAAAAGGATGATCAAGGAAGGTGGGTTGGCAAAAACGGATGAGGTTGATGCCAAGGGTTTGCTTCTCTTTATCAGTGGGTTTGGGATTCCAGGTATCTTTAAGAATGAAGATATTACGGATTTGATTAGGGCTAGTAACGTGAAGAAAATTTCCTCTGTTCTTTGTCGATCGGCCATTCTTATCTCAAAGATTCCAGGTTTGCTTGCAAAAATTGAACTCTTCTATATCATAATTGTTTCTCTATTGGTGTTTCATGCTTAATGACTGCTTATGGTATTACGGAGTTGTCCTGAATATGTTATTCTGACCAGACACACTTAGCATGTGGTTTAGATTATATTTCCGAGCACATAACCTCTAATAGGAGTTTTCGGAGATGAAGGACTAGGTAGCCAGTGATGGACCTAGTGTGTTGGATTTGTGCCACCTCTTTGTTCCTGTGTAAAAATTATAGGGTCGTGAAATGTGCCACCGTATCAATTTGTTGCGTGCCACCATATATATTTTGAAACTACAACAAAGACACAAGTTTCCCTTGGTAGAGTTGGTTTACAAGGCTTTTCTTCCACCCTAAACCTGAGTTCAAATCCCTTTAATGTCATTTTCTTAGATGTTAGCTTTTAATTTTAGATTTATTATGTTCCTGAAAGAAATTTGTAATAAAAGACTTGAACACAGTACCTCACATATGAAGAACAATGAACTAACCAATAGACCAATGATGATTTTGTGAAAAACATCCCTATATTTGTTTTTTATTGACTTATAGTCAAATGGTACCACCACTTGAAAAAGTTTCTAGGTCCGTCTCTGTAGGTAGTAGAGTAGACTAGGTGTAGTGCCTGTAGCTAGCGAGGATGGGCAGAAGGGATTTGAAAGGTTGAGGGTGGGGCAATTTAGGTCACCAGAGTCCTACGATGGAGATAGATGCGTGTCTTGCCTTACTTTGCGTAATCTTCTGTGTGTTTTGCCATACATTACCTTTTCTATGTTTCAATGTACCTAATCCTTGCTATTTATTACTTCTTTGTTCTCTTTCTGTGCTTATTATGTACCAGTCCTTGTACTTTTTACCTTTTTGCTCACACTCTTGCACACGCCAGTATTTTCACAGAATCAGTTGCTCTACTTTTTCACACCCACATCCCATCCCTAGACCCTACTTTCAGGTAGGAATAACGGGTCGCATTAGTTTGGTTTGGTTTGGTTTGATTTGATTTATTGTTATGCTAATTTAAACATTCTATTGAAGGTATCGGATATACAATGTAGGATATTTTATTAACCCAGTCACTTCCAATTCAACAAAAGATACACATTCTTGAGGGGAGTCAACTAGAATTTCAGCGGTAGTGGCATAATGGCCTTACTTCGTTTTTATGTTTCAATGTACCTACTCCTCTTTCTCTCTGTGCTTACTATGTGCTAGTCATTGTTCCTTGTACCTTTCTGCTCACGATTTTGTGCAAGTTGGGGCCTTCACAAAAGTAACAGCTCTACTTTCTCACACCTGCATCCCATCCCCAGACCCTACTTTCGAGTGGGATATAGTGGGCCGGTTTAGTTTGATTTATTGTTACGATAATAAGAGCATGCTATTTAAGGTATCGAATATGCAATGTAGGATATCTGTTAACCGATTCACTTCCATATCAAGAAAAGAACACATTGTTGAGGGGCGTCAACTAGAATCTCAGCGGTGGTGGCATAATGGATTGATAGTATTGGAAATATGGAAATTTTCTCTTGATCAGATGAAAAAGAGAGGTGCATCTTCGTTTTGGGGAATATACATAACAGATTAGGTTAATAATGTATTGGAACTTGAAGGGGGTAATTCGTTCTTCAAAGTATTTAGTGTATCTCTTACTTGATGATGCATCTTCTTTGAATCCAATGAAAAACTGATCAAACAGTTTGATGACTAATATGGTTGGTGACCACAAACTATTGCAGGACCGATGAGGTTATGACTGTGAAAAAACTAAAAATGAAACTAGGAATAGTGCATCATCGCTTCTATTCTAATATGCTTAACCTGACGTTCCGATAGGGCTATACTGCATTGCTACAACCAATATAGGGGTCTTTTATGTAAACAGGCACTCTTAACATTCATTTTGGTGATGTCGACATTGTTTTTGGTTTAATACAATATATAACTGTTCAGATTTTATTTATTATAGTCTCATTTTCATGGTTTTTTTTTCCAAATTCTTTGAACTGTTTGGGCAAAGCTCTCGTTGCCTCACACTTTTCGCAAGTTGGGGGTCTTCATGGAAACAACCTTTCTACTCTTTAGGGGTAGGGGACAGGCCTGTGTACATCTTCCACCCCACCTCTGGGTGTGATATAACAGGCTCATTTTGTTTGGTTTGGTTTGGTTTATGTAGTTCGTTATGCTCTTATAGCTTAGATCATTTTTAGGTTACATGTTATGAACCAAATCGATCGAACAATTGAAATAGAAACCAAGTGATAAGGACACTGTAAGATGCTTCAATTAACAAGGAAAACTAAGAACAAACTAACTTTCGAGAGGCTAGAACTCTCACATATAGAACCCACTAGTTTTCTGCATGCCCTACACCACCTACATCATCCCTTTTTATCCTAGATAATTAAGTACCCAAAATACCCATTCTAACCCTACTAGAATAACAAGTATGGATGTGCCAATGGTCTTGGGCCTAAGGTGGGTACATGACATTACACTCTGGCATCCAAAATATCGTGTCATAAGCCTTGAAGACATCAACATCCTCCCCAATTCACCAACCGAAAAATGCTAAGAACCTTCTCCAGCTGCCAGGACCAACGATAGTCATATGGGGTTTAGTTAATATGGTCGGTTTCTAGATGTTGGTAAATCCACGTTAAGGCATCAATAATACCTTGTATTCCATCTTAGTCATGGCATGGTGCCAACAGGAAAGTCCATGGCATACGGTACATGACATATTCCTAGTACATAAAATATGGAAATATATGATAATAAATCTATCTAAAACTGATGCATTAAATTAGTCTTTAGCTACTATTTTAACAATGAAGAGCCAAAAACAACGAATTTACTGAACAAAAGGCATCTTTTCACATTGACCTACCACACACAAACAAGCGATGTTCAATAAATATAAATGACTGTCATTTAATGAGGAAAAAAATGCCGGGCTGGGTTCTTCTCCTACCCCTATTCAATTGAACACGCTGCGCAAATTGTTGATAAACTTCAAAACAGCATTCTTTTTTGACCAATTTTTTTTATCTTTTAGAAATTACAAAAATAGTTCAAGATAGAACATATATTTGTTTTTCTGCCAGACCACATTCTTTCCCGATGCCCATTGCCAGCTAACAGCCCAAGTTAAGGAAAAACACGGCTGAAAGAGAATCCTAAGTTTGATGTCTATTGCAGAGCCTTCAATTCATTCTCCTTCTAGCCCTTTTATCGATTATGAGACTACCTTCATGCCTAAGGTCTTCAAATCTGGTTCTTATTGTTTCTGTCATGTCATCTGCTGGAGTAATATTTTAGTTTTAGTAGTTCAGTGTTAAAGCTTAACCAAAAAGAAAGTAGAGCCTGGATCATTAACTAAGTGAAAAATAAACACTTGGATTTAGAAAAAAAAAATTAATTCTTTGCCAAAAAGGTATTTGGGATCTTTTTTGTTGCGAAAAGGAGATCTGTGAGATTTATAAGTTGTTAACAGAGACAAAGTAGAGAACAAGCTGAAGACTTGTCAAGAGGAAATAGACATTGGAAGTTTACTCGTTGAGAAGAGAAAAATGATGAAAATGTGGCTGTTAGGTCTTGTTCTTCTCCAGATTATATGTTAGTCTTTTAGTTTTTTCAAGTATTTCATCGGTATTTTTTGTTATGGAAATAGTGTCTCTAATTTGACTTGCCAAGTTGGGAATACCGATATATATTCTCCAATTCATGGACAAGTGTTGGGAGATAAAATTAGGTAAAAGTTAAGGTTTTTTATTTATGCTCATCTACTTGGGTAGCGGCACATCTCATCCCACGACCCTACTCCCGAGCAAGGTTTTAAAAGACAGAATCAGGCCTTGAGGCGTTTTCCCTCAACGAGGCAAGACGTAAGCCTTGAGGCGGTCCGAGGCGTAAGCCCCATGGCAGAAATATATATATATATATATATATGTGTGTGTGTGTGTGTGTGTACACTAAAATATGTATATATACTACACAAATATATATATATATATATATATATACACACACATTTATATACAATCAAGGTTTTAAAGAACAGAAACGACCCTCGAGGCGTTTTCCTCTTAAGTACACGAGGCATAAGCCCTAAAAATTAAGACAAGAAAATTCATAAATCCATAACCCATAGAAAAAAACATAATATATACTGTACATTAAGCCAAGTTATACATAAAAAACAGAATATGTACATAAAAATAGCATATATACATAACAACAACAGAATATGCAATAAAAATATAACATAAACATAATAAAAGGAATATGTACATAAATCATAATATATCTATATAAGCACACATATTATACAAAAAAAGGCTTTACAAATAAAAGAACATGCAGATTCTTACAAATATGTAAATATTGATACTATATAAAAATATGCAGAAACTGAAATGTGCTTATAGAAGAAAACTGAAATGTGAAGGTACAAGCCTACAACTAGCAGGTACAAGCCGGAGAGATAAGAAGTAATGTAGAAGAGAGAGCCAGAGAGGAGAAGTCGACAATAGTATAAAGCATTGCTTTCTTGATCGATTGACTTTTGGGAGAAGTTCTATGTTTAGTTTATTGGCAAAAGAAAAGAAATTGGGCTACATAGGAAAGAGGCCGATGGGCTTCCTTATATTATTAGGGTTTTTTAATCTTTAGTTATTTCCTTAAATAGAAAAGGTGAGATTTTCTATCAGGGAAGGAAACGCCCGCCTTGGCACCGCCTCAAGCCCGCCCCACCGCCCGCCTCACACCACCAAGGCGCACGTCCCTACTGGATACCCTGAGGCGGCGCCTCGTATTTGTTTTTGGAACCGAACCGCCCTGAGGTGCACCTCTGGCATTTTTTAAAACCATGAATACAATATGTGTGTGTGTATATATATATATATATAATACTAAGTTACTATGGGCGTTGGTTTAGTGGTTCTTGACAGAGGAAAGAGTGAAACAGTGAGATAGGCTGGAGGAAGAGGAAGGGTCAAACCACACTTTTTGATTGAGAGGAGAAAGTACTAGCTTTGTGGGTTTTAAAATATTAAAGTACACATGGGGGCCACTGGGTTTTGACTTTTAGTTTTTAAAACAAAATAAAGACACTTATACTATAAAGAGAAGTACTACTACTGTCATAAAACTTATTAAAAAACCCAAAAACCATTACTAGAGCAAATCATCTGTGACACTGCCTCATGCCTAACTGAACCGCCTCACTGAACCAAGGCGTAAGCCTCGTCCAGGGTCCTAGAGGCGCTGCCTCAGGTGCAGTTTTGCGCCACCTCACCTCGACGCGTATGCCTCAAAACAATTTCTAAAACCATGCTCCAAGTCCCGAGTGAAACATGTGCGTTTGGTTTGGGTTACTGATCAACTGCACAGATTCTTTGAACCTTAAACGTTTGTAATTGCAAGTACATGGCCATTGTAATTGGGGTTGTTTAATTATGGCCATTGTTACATTATTTTAAATCTTATTATATACTTTTGTTTCGTGAATTGAAACTCTTTTGTGGTTATTTATATTTGTTCCAGAGGTAATTCATTGGATGGTGAAGAATGATCTGGAAATAGAAGCTACAGATATTGCCGATACTTTTGCTTTGGAGGATAAGTGCCATAAATTTAAAGACAAGCAACATGGTTCTTCTCCTCAAGTGGTAGTCTATATCCTATCTCTTGCAATTAACGTTATATTATCTCCAATTTCATTGTTCTACTATCTCGTCAATTTCAACGTTTTTTTTTGTGTGGGGGGGGGGGGGAGGGTTGAAAAATACTTAGGGGGTGCTTGGCGGAATGGTCTCGAGGGATTTGAATTTCATGGAAGGATTTGGAATTAGAGCGGATTTGGAATATTTGGTGTGTTTGGTTTTTAGGATTTGAAATGGAATTGAATTCCATTTTTTATAAATAATTAATAAAAACAAATTATAGATAATTATAAAATTTTAAATTACCTTTTTATTAGTTGACTAATATAAACAAACATTTTCAACATATTTGAAAACATCATAACACGCAAATCCTACGAAATCCTGCAAAATACCAACCCCCATGGGATTTCTACATCCCATGTCTGGGATTTCAATGAAATCCTAGGATTTCAAATCCAAACAATCCTTCAAACCAAACATGGGATTGCAATGGAATTGAATTCCAAATCCCTTCAAATCCTATCCAATCCTACAAACCAAACGGAAACTTTTTTTAATCAAGAATTTTGGGCAAACTCTCTCTTTTTCACAAGCTGGGGGCCTTCACGAAAATAACCACTCTACTCTTTGGGGGTATAAGTCAGGTCTATGTACATCCCACCGTCCAGACCCCACCTCAGGATGGGATGTACTATGCTCGTTTGGTTTGGTTTGGTTTATAAAGATTTGGCTGATAGTCAATTAGTTCTTTTAGAATACGTGATTGATCAAATATTACAATTTTCATAGGACATGGGAGCTAACGGTGGCGTTTCTTTTAACGGAACTGCAACTAATTGCGTATGGGGACATGAAAAAGTGAGGAAGCCTGAGATCGCCGATATCTCGGAGAAGTCCGAAAAAACTGATTTTTTGGAGAAGCGTGAAGAAACTGAGACTTTGAAGACGCCTGAAGAAACTGATATATCAAAGAAGCCTGATGTATCTGAACTGGAAAGCTGTTGTGAACGGATGTGTGGTCGGGGGATGAGGACATATGTAGCCAGACATATTTCTGACATGAATAAGCTTCAGAAAGAAATTCCGAAGGCATTGAAACTAGCCAAAAATCCTGCAAAATGTGTGCTAGAGGGCGTTGGGAGGTTTTTCTTACAGGGCAGTAGATCGTTCTCCAAGGGGTCAAAGGTGAGTGTAGCAAGGCAAGCTTCGGTTGTGATTTTGGAGTGCTTTGTGATGATAAGCAGTGACGGTATCGATATTGCAAAAGAAGAAGAAGAATATGCAGCAAAAGCGGCTGTTGATTGGAGAAAACGGATGATCAAGGAAGGTGGGTTGACAAAAACGGATAAAATTGATGCCAGGGGTTTGCTTCTGCTTATCAGTGGGTTCGGGATTCCAGATGTGTTTAAGAATGAGGACATTCGGGATTTGATTAGAGCTAGTAACGTGAAGAAAGTGTCATCTGCTCTTCGTCGTTCAATCATTCTTATCCCAAAAATTCCAGGTTTGCTTGCAAAATTGAATGATTTTATATCATAATTGTTTTTCCGGTGGTGTCTCATCATTAATTACTGCTTATGGTATTACCGAGCTGTCCTAAATATGTTATTTTGACCACACCGAAGGGAGATCAATGAGATAAGGGTTGACCTTACAAAGGAATAAACCCTATTCACTTAGGGCCTGTTTGTTAGCAACTTAATGAGCTTAATGGGACTCACAACTTATTCGGTCAGCTATATATGACTGTATGGTAGTGGCTTAATGATATTGAAAGTGGCTTATTTAGTAAGCTTCTAGTGGGGAGCTTTATGCAGTAAGCTAAGTTTTTTCCAAACATGTTCCTCCCAAACAAAAACCTTTTCAATCTATACGGATAGATTAATCTACATAGGACTTTGATGCGAACTTTTCATCTTTATTCAACAATCAAATGTTTACAAATTGATTTCCAGCTTTTCCGAGAGAGCCGGATCTCTCCAGAGAGGTTTTCCTCCAATTACACAATACAAAATTGATGCCTAATCACTTCTATCCCCTTCTATTTACACTTCTAATAACCCAACTTACTTGACTAATTGACCAGCCCCCTATTATCCCTACTATCCATATGTAACAATACCCGCCCCCCAAACATCCACCTTGTCCTCAAGGTGGAAAGAAAATAAATAATCCTGGAGTTTTATACTTCTTGGCTTTGTATTTGTTCCAGAAATTCGTACTTAGGTGTATTCTTGAAATCTTTAGGGCTTGAGAGATAGTTAAAGTCTGTTTTTGGGCTTAAGAGAAGGATATAAATGTGGGCTTCACTATTGCCTTTGAAGTCTAATAGAATGAATAAACCCATGGTTTTCTTTGAACGTACATATGGTTGTTCCAAAAAACATACGCAGATGAAGAAGAACAAGATTTCGGTAGAGTACAAGTAATTGCATCATGGGAAGATTTTGGTTGGGCAACAACCATGGCTTACCACCGCCACTGCCATATCCACTATTTTCTTTGTCGATCGTCAATACAACCTGGAATAGCCTCTTGCATGTTCTTCGTTTCTTCTTTGTCGGAGCCTTCTTTGTTGTCGATTTGCTCCTCACCGTTGATTTTGTCTTTGCCTTCCCCTTGTTCTCATAGCAGAATCTTGGGATCTTGAAAATGAAGTGTTGGGATGGGTTTAGGGTTTCAAATTTTGACGGGCTTGATGGAATAGGCTTGGATTTCTTAGTTTTCTTCCTCGCTTCTCTCTTCTTGCTCTTCTTCTTCATGGCCCAATTGAGTGTTGTCGTTTGCTTGGATTTTGTATTCTAGATCAAACCTCGATTCGAAATTAAATTTGATTTTGGCTTCAGATTCGATCTTTCTTCTTCCTTCTCTCTCTCATCTTGTTTTCTTTTTCTCTTTTCTGCCAAGATCGTAAGTTTGTGATCTTGATCAATTGATTGTTCTTGGACATAATTCAAGTCTTCTTGAATCGTTTCTTTTATGATTTTCCAATCTTATTGAACCACATCCATGGAAGACTTCATCGAAGTAATATCCTCCATCATCTTTTGCGCCATGACAAGCATGCTCCTGGTCAATTCCAGAATGGACTGCTCTGATACCATTTGATGCGAACTTTTCATCTTTTTTCAACAATCAAATGTTTACAAATTGATTTCCAGCTTTTTGAGAGAGCCGGATCTCTCCATAGAGGTTTTCCTCCAATTATACAATACAAAACTGATGCCTAATCACTTCTATCCCTTTCTATTTATACTCCTAATATCCCAACTTACTTGACTAATTGACCAACCCCCACAATTGACTAATTGACCAGCCCCCTATTATCCCTACTTCTATATGTAACAGACTTGATGGTAAACCGACCAAACAGATTGATCCCCACAGACAACTTTATCCACATAGGACTTGATGGAAAACCAATCCAATAGCCCCATAGTATATACCACACCAAACCAACCCAATATACCTCTGCCGCTAAGGGAATGTCCCGATGAACCCTCTCTTTGTCTTCTTCTCGCCGCTTTTCTCATTGATCAACTACCACTTGATCCCCTAGGTAAAGGAATTTCGCCCCTTTCTCAATAATCCATCTTGCCTTCCAAATCTCGGGAAAACCGGTCTTCGGGTATCTAGGCATGGTTTATGCCCTGAAACAAAGGTGTACGTACATAAATAAAGAGATTGGTTATGGCCTTTATGGGCTGGGCCACACACGTGCTACAATGGCAATTGGCTTGTGAAGGGAATGAGGTAGGGTAGCCAAAGCCAGTTCTAAATGGATAGGATAAATTGTGGAGTGGTTGTTTCCTGAAAACATGCTGCTTGTGCAAACGTGTGGGCGAAAGGAAAGAAGAACTAATATGGCTAAATAGGCACGTGGAAACTAGACACACTTATCGTGTTGTTTTACGATTTTTTTTAAGAGTCGAGCTTGTTATGCTAATAAAAACATGCTATTCAAGGTATCAAATTTACTCCCTCCGTCCCAAAAGTAAGTGTCCACTTTCTATTTTAGTTTGTCCCGAATTAAGGGGCCGTTTACCAATCATTTATCCATTAAGCGCTTACTGTGTCACTTACCCTTACCGGATGAACATGTCGATGACTGAGAATCTTACCCGATAAGAGCGATGACAAGGATCAAGAGTCTTACTTGATAAGTAAGGCTGATGAATCTTACGTGGTTAACGCTTACTGGGTAAATTGTTGCTTATGATATTGTCTTGAAGGACTAGAATCTTACCTGGTAAGGCAAGAGTGTTAACTATTACCGGTAAGCACTCACCGGGTAAGCGTTTGGGTAAACGGCATCTAAGTGTCCACTTCCAAAAGTAAATGCCTACTTTCCAATTCTACCCTTAGTTATGAGATGGAAAAATTCATTACTCCCTCTATTATCAAGGATTCAAGGGTATGATTGTTATTTAATTAATTAAAAAGTGTAAAAATTACACATTTCTGAAACCGCGTGCATTTTGACATTTATTTTGGACGGAGGTAGTATAATATAGGAGAATTATATTAAACCGTTCCCTTTGGGGTAGAGGGCAGGTGTACCTACATTTTACCCTCCCCGGATCCCACCTCCACGTGGGATATATCGGGTTCGTTTGGTTTGGTTTACTGATTAACTGCACGTATCCTTTGAACCTTAAAACATTTGTAATTGCAAACTCAAACTCATGGCCGTTGTAACATTATTTTAACCCGTCTGATATATTTTTTTGTCTCGAGTTAAACTCTTTTGTGGATATATGTGTGTGTGTATGTTTCAGAGGTAATTGATTGGATGCTGAAGAATGATCTCTATATAGAAGCTGCTGATATTGCCTATACTTTCGGTTTGGAAGATAAATGCCGCCCGCAGACCATATTGACGACATTCTTGCACAATAAAATTAATGACGGGCAACATGGTTCTTCTGCTGAAGCGGTAATCTATATCCTATCTCTTACATTGAACGTTCTCTTATCTCTAATTCCGTCGTTGTACTATCTCTGTCAATTGCAACATTTTCTTTTTTAGTAGCTTTTAATATGAAACTATGCTGTTCGTCCCAAAATAAATGTCCAGAATAAAAAAGGGACATAGTTTTAGATGTGTAATTATTACACTTTCTAATTAACTAAATGACGATTTTGCCCTTAGTAATAGGAGTAATGAATTTTTATTTCTCATGATTAAGGTAGAATTGGAAAATATACACTTTTGAACGTGGACACTTATTTTAGGACAGTCTATAAACTAGAAATATGGACAAATATTTCTTGTAACCTTTTAATCTGAAACTATTCCCTTCGTCCCAAAGTAAAGGTCCAAAATAAAAAAAAGGCACATAGTTTTGGAAAGGTGTAATTAATAATTATCACACTTTGTAATTATCTAAATGACAATTTTACCCTTCATAATTGAGGGAGTAATGAATGTCTTCTTGTCGTGATTAAGGATAGAATTGGAAAATAGATACTTATTTTGGGAGGGGGGAGTACTTTTTCCCTTCTTTTTCAATTTAAAGAATTCAAGTGGTAGCCTTTATCTGATCTCTTAGACCGAAAGTTCTATTATCTAGTGATTCTAATAGTATACTCTTTGGGGTAAAAGCCGGGTATGCGTTCGTTCCGCCCCAGACCCCACCTCTCGGTGGGATATACTAGGCTCATTCGGGTTTATGAACATTTGACTTATAGTCAAGCATTTCCTTTAGAGTACGTGAATGGTCAAACGTTACAATTTTCTTAGGACCACGGGAGCTAAACATGGTGTTTGTTATTTGCTACTTTTCAGAATGCTAAGAAGCAGCTATCGTATCTGAAGTCAGTAAGAAAATGTTTGGAAGCTCACAACGTTGATCTCTCAAAGCCCCTTGCGGACTATAAAATCAACGAAAGAATACACCAGCTCGAGAAAGAGATAAACGAGCTCGATTCAAAATCCGTGGAAAAGAACCCATCCCGAAAGAGAAAGGTGAAAGAAGCTGAATCTTCAAGAAACGAAAAACAACATGAAACAAAACGCACTCGTTTAAGTAGTCACAAGAATCTGCCACAAGAGCCAAAACCGGTCAATTACTATGCTAAAAGCCCGTATAACCAATTGACACGATCCGGTAGCAGCAGTTACTTCGATCGGAAACTCCCGAGCGATTGCATCGGTGCGTATCCGACTTCATCTGTGTTATCTGCACCCGGGCTGTCGGAAAACGTAGCTAGCTCGGTAGCCATTGAAAGTGAAAGTGGTTTAGCCGGTGGTGGCATGCTCATCGGTTCTTACGGCTCGGGTCTTGCCGTTGAAAGTGGAGGTGGGTTATCCAGTTGTTATGGAGGAACCTATCCTGACCAAGTGATGAACGGTCGACCTTACGGTTGGCATGAGGACTCGTTGTTGGTCGAGCGGTATCTGGGTCAACCCTATTCGAGAATTGGTCAAACATACGATTTGCAACCTTCAACGAGTGGTTTGATTGGTTTGTACGGTAGACAACTGGGACGGCCATCACTAGAAACATTTCCTGGATTGCCAAGTTCATCTGGGTCACAGGGCTTTTCGGGTCAAGGAGCCCCGGGTTCGGATCTGTACCGTTTCGCTGATACCGTTGTACAAAATGAATCGTATCGTGGTTCTTATGCATCAGGTGGTGGTACCATTCGCTCACCTCACTTGTACTGAACAAATGGTTAGAGTTAAGGTTGATACGAGGTTAAATCATGATGTTGATACTACCTCGTTTTTTATGTAAAAATGTGAACTCGCTTCTCATGGTATATATGCATGGTGTTTGGACGGTATATCTTCCATCTATACTTTCCTTTTTGTATGTATATAATTAGAGAGCAGAGTACTACAGTATTCGAGCTCGGCTCGGAAGAATTATACCGCGCTCGAGCTCGAATAACTTTTTCAAATTAAGGCGTGAGCTCGAGCTTGAATCTTTTTTGAGTTATCAAGCTTGACCTCGATAATTGTTTATGGACTTGTTTTTTTATAAATGTATGAGTGTGTTTGGCTCGAAAAGTATATGCTCGAATGGCTTGACTAAACTCAAATCAACTCGAAAAATTTAGTCAAGCTTTCGAACAAGTTGAGTCGAACATTTGGTTTTATAAAACTCGAAATGTTAAGTTAAACGAGTTCTATTTTGTGTTCGTGATCGGCTCGAGCTCGAGAGTTATTAAGCTCGAGTAGCTCGTTAAAAGCTCGACTCCTTTGCACTCTCCGTTTATATATGAAAAATGATTACATATACATTTTGAACCATTGACCTCTACGAAAACGTTTTTGGTCAAATATTTTAAATTTTTAAATTTCGAAAATATAATTTTTATAAATAATATGAAAGATTCAGATAAGAAGACTAAATATGGCGAGAAGGTAAAAAAAAAATGTTTATGTGTGAATCATTGAAAAAATATATTTGAAGATACATATCTGAATCATATAAATAATTTGTAACGTCGGTGCATATATGCGTCTTCAACGAAACTTTCTTGGAATATTTTTCAATAATTCACATATGAATTTTTTCTTAACCTTTTATTATTTTCTTCTCACGATATTTAACATTATTATTTGAAACGACCCTTTTGAAATAATACACATGAATCATGAACGGATTGAGGGTTACAGTTAAAGAATTTTTGGTTGAAAGCATGTATCATATAACCGGACCGATAAAAGTTCGAGTGAGCTTCATGCCTATGAACTCAGTGGCGATATGGGGATTCTTATTCCTCATTGGATTTGAACTTGAGACCTTCAGACACTTTTGACCTTTGGAGCTCAAGCTCAAGCTCAAACTAATCATGCATCACCCTTGTGGTTACATACAAAGCAGACGATCATCCTGAGATTAGTCGGCTCGCATAGCGGGTTGAATATCCAGATTAATTTTAAAAAAGGGTCTAAATTTTAGTTCCAAAACATCTCAATTAAATGCATTTTAAGTATATTATGCTTTTCTTTACGTGTGATTGGTATGCAAACAGTACTTATCATGTTATACCGAGGTCAGCGAGTGAAAGGTTTTAGGTTTTAGTTGGACATATATGGTTTAATAATTTACCAATATTGTTCTTCCCTCTTGGTTTTTGTTCCGTCTATTTGGGGATCCCACGCAAATTACGTTTTGTCTCGATATAATGTTGTGTTAAATATAAAACAAACAAGTTTCTTTATCTATTGTATCCGGTCGTGACCCACGTATTAAATGCACCATTGTTCTGTAGGGTAGAAAAACCAGTTAAATATTTGAAGGTGTAAATGTAATCATGGATGAATTCTAGGGGTGTGCATCGAACAGGTCGGGCGGGTTCGGGTAGGAAAATCAAAAACCCGACCGGATTTCGGATATGGAAATCAAACCCAATTTTTGGATTGCTTTTGGTTTCGGGTTGGTCGGGTTGAGGCCGGTCGGTTCGAATTTAGTTATAATGCAAAAAAAATATCCAATCGATTTTGACAATGAATTCAATCGATAGTATGCTTAGAAATTAGAAAAAACACGACCGACTAAGATTTTTAAAATTTTCAAAAGATAATTAGATAAATAAGAATATTTATGTAGTATTTAAAATATATATGTATATATATTTCGGGTTTTCGGACAGATTGGTGACCGAAAATCAAACTTAACCCGTTTTTCATATTAACCTGGATATCCAACCCGCTATGCGAGCCGACTAATCCCAGGACGACCACCTACTTTGCAGATAGCCCGGAGTCACGACATTTAAACCTCCGTAGCCACAAGAGGATTTTTATTTCTTCTTGGATTTGAACGTGTGACCTCCAGGTACTTTTGACCTTTGGAGCCAAGCTCAAACCAATCAGGCACCACCCTTGTGGTTAAACGTAACCCGTTTGCCGCCTATTTGTAAAAGTTACGAAATTACCCTCTCTATTTTTCGCATAGCCGCAATTTTTGACCGGTCAAAGCCATAATTATTAACCATTAAAATCCGATCTTGATCATATAAAGGCTATGATCACTTCTTTACTTCTCAAATATTTACCATTTCTCAAAATAACTTTTGAATATATATATATATATAGAGAGAGAGAGAGAGAGAGAAAGAGAGAGAGAGAGGGAGAGAGAGAAACTTTCAAATACAACTCCTCTAGATTATACAATCTATTTATCCACCATCCATTTTCTTTTTTTGATTTTTTTAAATTAAGGGTAGTTACAACCGATTAGATGATAACCGTTGATAATCAAATAGACGTTCCTGATTTAATCATACAGGTAGCAGGAATGCAAAAGGTTACATAATAACCCACATATATATATATATGGGGATCATTCATGGAAGAACTGACTAGTTTGTAGTAACCGTGAGATCCAATCTCAGCCACGAATCAATAGATAAATTAGAAAATTCATAATTTTGGTAATTTTGAGTTAAAATTTTAATGCAAGGACATTTTAGGTATTTTTCACTCCTATCTCCTCTCTTATCTCTCCGTCCCCCGTCCTCCGGCTACCATCCTTCGGCCACCATCCTCCGATGATACAACTGTGATACCTAAAAATATTGACTATGTTAAACAAAACACACAGTGTGATACCTAAGCACATATAAGATGCATTGTGATAGCACTGCGTTATATCTCCGATCGACCACACAAACGACCTCAGTGTGATACCCAATGATATATAAGATGCATTGTGATACCATTGTGGTATCACCGGAGGACGATGGCCGGAGGTTTAAAGGACGGAGAGAGGAAAGAGGAGATTTAAAATACCTAAAATGTTCTTGCATTAAAATTTTAATTCAAAATTACCAAAATTATAAATTTCATAATTTATCTATTGATTTGTGATTGAGATTGGAACTCACAGTTACCACAAACCAATTAGTTCTCATTTGATTAGGCCTCTATATATCTATACTATATTATAAAGTATTTGACAAAAACTCTTAAAAACCATTTTTTATGCATGAAGTACTGTTTATTGATGCATATTACTTAAAATTCAAGATTACAAGTAAATTGTGCGTAAGTACAACTTATTAAAGTTTCATGTAACTAACTGCAGATAAACAGAATTAAATAAAGAATAAACATCTCATTTTAAATATATAAAATCTAAAATATAATTAGGATAGTCATTAACTTCTAACAAAATGCTTAATTGTTATCTTTATTAAAAAATTATATTATTAAACCAAAGATAAAAAAATAATTAAAGAAATTTTAAATAGTTAGTTTGATATTAATATCATTTTTTATCATATTTTCATTTTCATATTTTATTTAAGAATAAAAATATTACGTTTTCTCAAAATTACATAAAACTGTATTATAACATCGATTAAAACAAAGAAAAAACGAAACATTAAAATCGAAATGTATTTCGCTACATTGTGCGAGTACCCTTCTAGTATATATATATAAAAGAATTTACATGATAAAACTATTAAGTGAAATGTTTTATTTGAAAAATAAATCGTTCCCATTATTTTTTTTTTAACAAATTTTCAAATATAAATTCAAAATGGTATTTGTATTTCGTCTCGTCAAAAACCTTTGGGGTACAATGGTAATAAGATCCTCCTGTTTTCTGCCGCACCCCTTTGGTTTTTTGGGGTTTTAGCCACCGGCTGCTGTTCCACAAACCAAAACCAACAACAGCAAGAGAAATGGTGAGACTTACGGCCGATTTGATATGGAAAAGCCCTCATTTCTTCAATGCTCTTCGCGAACGTGAATTGGATCTCCGAGGTTCCTCTCTGCTCTTTCTTAATCCTTTCATTTTGCAATCAAAACCTAGTTTTATGATTCGTATCAACTTTCTGTTCATATTGTATATGGCTTTTTCAATTTTGCTTTCGTTTACAGGGAATAAGATTGCTGTGATAGAGAATTTGGGTGCTACTGAGGTTAGTGTTTTTGTTTTCGGATTTCTAGGTTTTGCTGTTTTTAAGAAGCTAAGTAAAGCAGATGAATATGCGACCAGTGTCTTTTTGTAGGGTTATAGTTTTTGTTATTTTTTAATTTGGTTGATGGCGTTTCTCATGAACAGGATCAATTTGACACTATTGATTTGTCTGACAATGAGATTGTTAAACTCGAAAACTTCCCTAATTTAAATCGACTTGGGACGTTGTTGTTTAATAACAACAGGATTACTCGTATTAACCCTAACATTGGAGGTACCTCAATGCTTTCTTTTGAATTTTTCGTTTGGGGGTTTATTTATTTATTTTTTGTGATTTTTCTATAACAACTTGTGATGTTTGAATTTACAGAGTTCTTGCCGAAACTGCACTCTTTGGTTCTTACTAACAATCGACTTGTTAATTTGGTTGAGATTGATCCACTTGCATCACTCCCGAAGCTACAGTTCCTGAGTTTGCTGGACAATAACATTACAAAGAAACCGAATTACCGCCTATATGTCATCCACAAATTGAAGGCATTGCGTTTGCTTGATTTCAAGAAAGTGAAACAAAAGGTGAGTAATAATTTTCTGTAAGCAAATGTCTATGAGATTGAAATCTTGAGTAACTCGGATCTATGATGTGATTTAATGGTCATATATTCTCTTGACATTCATTTTTTAATAACATGCAAATTTTCTGAGTTGCTTGCTGTGTTACTGTTCTGATGGCATTGTAGATGCTAGCACAAACTTAGTTTGTTTCATTATAATATGCTCCTATACTACATCATCCTTCTACTTTCTTGATTTGATGTATCTCTAGGTGATGTATTTGGTGTAAACAAGTTGTTTGTCTTAACTGAAAGTTGAATCCTGTTTCCATCTTTGGTGAAATTGTATGATATAGTAACAAGATTGGCAAAGAGATCAACTTTTTGTTTCATTGTCACCCAACTTCATGATGGATGTTGAGACAATGTCTAATGCCTTAAACAAATATGATCATAACAATGACACCATATGCATGTGACTGGAGAACCTTGTTTTCCGCATTAAAATTATTTGCTTTTTTCCATTGAGACTTAATGATGAATGTGTTTAAGATATACATGATTTTTATTATGACAAATTTGAAGCCTAGTATTTAATTCCTTCGAACTCAAGCTGTGTTTACGAATCCTTGTATGATAACTCACTCATGTGAAGATCCAATATAATGTTCCTTGAAAAGGCCAATTTCCAATCCGTTGGGTAGAAAGTGGAAAAGAGTAGTGGTTGACTTCCTAATGTATTAGAAATCTGTTATGTAAAGAAATGGAATAAGGATGTAGAAAGGAGACTATACAGAATTTACAACTGTGGAATAGATCCCCCCTCCCAAATTACATCTTATTATCTCCAAGGAACTCGGCTATAGTCATCAAATTAGTCCTGATGTTACAAAAATATTTTTTTCATCTTCTACCATCCAGTTCAATTGTTGTCTTGCTTTTCTGAGAAGGTTGTTTGTAATATTGTATCGTTGGTTATAGGAACGAATTGAAGCAGCCAGTTTATTTGCGTCTGAAGAGGCTGAAGAGGAGGCGAAAAAGGAATCTGTTAAGACGTTTGTGCCTGGTGAGGTTCCGACTGAGGAGCCTAAGGAAGAGGAGCCATCTAAACCAGTTGGCCCTACACCTGAGCAAATTATAGCTATAAAGGTATTATCACCTTCTTAAAAATTCATCTCTTGGTCTCTCATTTTCTCACTCTCTCTCTCTCTCTGCATACGGATATGCAGACATGTATCTTTACAATGCCCCCTCTCCTCAAGAAATCAATCTTTTCCAAGAGAAATATACCAACTAAATCCAAGCAGTTGGGAGTCGGGACATAGGCAGAGCCAAGTGGTTATAAGATTGTTGCAAGATGCTCTGCATGGTTGTGATTACTCCCTCCGTCCCAAAATAAAATGTCCATAATTAAAATGGCAAACGGTTTTACAAATGTGTAATTATTACACTTTTTGATGAACTAACAACTAAGTGACAATTTTACCCTTAATATAGCGAAAATAGAATTTATCCATCTTCTAGTTGAGGGTAGAATTGGAAAGTAGGCACTTACTTTTGAAAGTGGACTCTTATTTAGGGTTAAACTAAACTAGAAATGCGGACTGGTGGGACTGAGTTTGAAATTATTGAGTAAAGGGACAAGCATGTCTTCTTGATCTCCGATATGTAGCTACAACTAATTTAATACTCTATACTTGTGTTTTACCTGCTGTATTCCATTAGTTCAAGCTACGGTTAACACAATCCAATAACATCACGTATTTTGTTTATACTTTTCTTGTACCTGCTTCTATTTATATTTTATTGCTTACTCTTAGCTGCTTTTTAAAACTTTATCTTATCTCGCTCTCTTTTTTGTTACTTTTCACAAGTCGGGGGTCTTTACAGAAACAACTGCTCTACTAGATGACGTCAAACTCTCACCAGACCCCACCTCCAAGTGGGATATTATTGGATCCATTTTGTTTTCTTTGGTTTATTAACATCATATATTATGTGCAGGCTGCAATTGTCAATTCTCAAACCCTTGAAGAGGTGGCTAGACTTGAAAAGGTGATATTTTCTTTTAATCTTAAATGGATATGTCAAACATATTATTTCTCGAGTATTTGCAATTCTTAAAAGGTGTTCCAATTTCAACCTACTGATCGTCTGCTATCCTATCGTTGAGCAGGCTTTGAAGTCTGGTCAAGTTCCAGCAGATCTTAATATTGGAAATACCAATAAAAAGGCGAACAATGAAAATACCACAAATGACATGGAAACAGATGGTGATAAAGAAGCACCTGTTGATGCTTCAAAGGATGCCAGTTCCAAAAAGGAAACTGATGGCCCTGCAGACATGGAGCAGGTACTCAACACTAGTCTTTAAGTTTCTTCCTGTATTAGTAGGTGTCAGTATTGTGCATGGTGTTACCTTGATTGTTTTAGCCTATTTTCCTTATCTTTTTTCCTATCCCTTGCCTTTTCTTAAATGTACCCGTTGCTTGATTGCACACTCTTTACCTATAACTTATTCTCTTTTTTTTAGTTTGTTAGTTTTACAAGCCGGGGGTCTACCAGAAACAGCCTTTCTATCCCTTGGGATAGACGAAAGGTCTGCATACATCTTAGCTTAGACAGTTAGACTAGCATGGGATTTAGCGAGTTTGGGGCCATTTACCAAACTCTAACCAGGCAAACCCTTAGCGGGTCACTTACTTTACGGGATGAGCATGACAAGGACAGATAATTTTTCTTGTTAAGTGACGGTGGTGACTTTTAGGGCCTTTTTAATTAGCAGCTTAATGGGACTCGCAGCTTATTCGGTCAGCTATACATGACTATTTGGTAGTAGCTTAATGATATAGAATGTGACTTATTCAGTAAGCTTCCAGGGGGAGCTTTATGCAAAAAGCCAAAAACAAACCTGCCCCTCCCAATTAGATAAACGCCCCTTCCATTTATGAAAAAACCATCCGAAACAAAAACCTTCACAGTCTATACATACAGATTAATCCGCACAGACAGCTTTATCCATACATGACTTAATGGAAAACCAATCAAACAACCCCTTACCCTTGCGATCAATCTTTCTATGCCATTTTGATGGCCATAATCTTACTCGCTAAGATAAGTGATGACTCTTACCTGGTAAGCTTTGTTTGGTTTGGTTTTAGATGGGTGTTTAGTTTCAAAAAAAAAATTAAGTATATAATATTTACATATGGTAAATACTTACTCACCGTTGGTGAGGTTTGACCTCTTGACCTTTACCAGTAATCATCCCATATACTACTATGCCAATGGCCCCTATGGTTGATTTTGAATATGTTTTATGGGTTGGATTCACGTGAGACATTGTGAAGGTATGAAAAACATCGAAACTTCACAGCAAAAACACTTTGAAGGTTCTTTTACCTTTACAGTGTTCTGCTGTGAAAGTTCAGTGTTATTTCTGTAATCCCAAATCTGTTCTCTTATAGATTTATCGTGTTAACGTAAATGTTTCAGGAATGATACGGTTGCAGAAATCGGGGGGTTGTAGATGCTAAAAGATGGGAAACAGATCCATCATACCAGGATTGATCCAAATGGTTTAGTTAGCAAATGGATGAAGTAAAGTCACTTTTGTACAATGAAAACTGACTGGAAGAGATCAATTATGATATCCCTTTGTTTGTATGCTTATTTTTAGTTAAAAAACCATGTTATTTAACTTCTTTTTTTGTAAGCTAAAATTTCATAGGTAAAAATGGATTTTGCATGCATTATTCTTATTTATATTTGATTTTGGAATTCATGTTTATAACTCTTCTTTTCTTTTCAAACCCTTTTATGTCCATTGCAAAAGAGGTGTTCACGGAAACGACATCTTTATGCGAACGATTTTATCGTAGTGATTTCCGTCTTCATTCTTTGGGATTTTTTGATGGACTAGTTTGGTTTTATATGGACCCTATAGAGGTTGTATTTTTGGATTTAGAGTTGTGTGCGTGGGATTTTTATCGGTTTTGGTTTGGTTTGATTTGGTTCTGGACAAATCCTTGAGGGGGTTTATTTAGATGTGGAGTTGTGTGTACAATAGATTTTTACTGGATTTGTTTGGTTGAGGCGCTTGAGAGGGTTGTATTTTCGAATGTAGAGTTGTGTGCAGTAGAGATCGTAGAATTTATTATTGCTATTAGCCTTCTATTGAATGGATTGGTGCAATAGTTCAGAGCATCTCTAACAGTCATGTTATTTGAAAAAAGTTTGCTTTAAAAACTATTGAACTTTCCTCTAAATTAGAGGGAAATAGGAGAGAAATGGAGAAATCATCATCATAATAAATAAACTCTCATAATTTATATAAATATCTCAATTAATTGGGTTACATTGGTTGTACAAATAGACATTGTTGCATTTGAAATATACCATATATATACCATATATATATATATATATATATATAAGAAAGAGAGAGAGAAACGATCAAATGCAAACCACCCAATTTATACAAACCGTGCAAATCATTCTTCCGTCGATTTCATTGTTTAATCTTATGAAATTTATTCATGAAATTGTTTCATATAATACTTTTTTTGATAAAGTTGTTTCATATATGGTTATGAAATTGTTTCATACAATATTTAATTGAATTTTAATGAAACTGTTTCATGTATTTCTCTAAAATTAAAATAATGAAGATGATAATATCCATGATTAACACATTTCACAATAAAAATAATTAATCAACCACTCATGATTACAAAAAAATGAACAAAATGAAAAATTATGATTGGTTGAATGAGGTTTATACAGTTTGTACAAATAACATGGTTTGTAAAGTAAATTTCCTCTCTCTCTCTCTATATATATATAACATAAATGTCGAAGATGCTTTCAATTCTATAAATTTTTTTATCAAAAGTTGAATTGCCAAAATCAATGGTTAAGTTGATCAAATTAAAGATAAGTTGTCAATGAATAATGTTAATAAACTAGTTTTATACACGGAATATTAAAATAGAGTTTCAGTCAATGTTCTAAATAGTGTGAGGCGTGACATGATGGCAAGGTTAAACCTCAAGTATTATGAGTTACGATGATGCCAAAAAACAATATTATTTCAGGTGCCATTATTCCTACTTCTGCAGCTATAGGTTTGCATTTTTACCCAATATGGAAAGCAGCATCCGTTGATGAATGTTCAAGGCTTGCTTAAAACGGCATATGCATACATATTTGTGTGTATATACATACATACATTTGTGTTTGTTAGTGTTTTGAATAATCTCCTATAACAATTTAAATTCATGTAAAAGTTATAAAACTAAAAAAGAAAGAACCTTTTACATCAAATATATCAAGTTCATAAGAAAACGATATCAAAAGTGTAAAATCTAAAATCTCTTTATCTACTCACTATTTTCTTCAATATCTGAAGAATTCCTCTATACGAGGAAATGATAACAAAAAAAACCACAAGGGTCGTACAATGATGCCCGATTGGTTTAAGCTTGAACTCCAAAGGTCAAAGTGTCTGGAGATCCTAGGTTCGAATCCAAGGAAGAAATAAAAATCCTCTTGTGGCCACAAAGATTCAAATGTAGTGAGTTTGAGATACCCACGAAACGAATTGTCACCCAAAGATTAGTCGACTCATACAACGGATTGGATATTCAGGTTAATAAAAAAAAAAGATAACAACAGAAATAGGTATTAATTTGAATGGGTCGTTCATGTATTATTCTGTACAAAAATAGGTATTAATTTGAATGGGTCGTTCATGTATTATGAAATAGCTAAATCGACGTATATTAAATTTGTACCTTTCGCTCGCACGGGCTTCACTCACTTCGGGTTCCATCGGGTCGTTGAACCATAAAAATCAAATACCTGTGTCATCGTAGACCAGGATCATTCTCTGCGAGTCCATAAAAAGTGATCCCATTTTTTCATCGGGTCCGGGCAGAGACCAAAGATCTTGATCCGGTCCTTGCCTCCAAGAGACCAATGATGACGTTAACATTAGCAACGTCTCGTAAAGCCTTCAACAAAATCAACTCGAAACCCAAAGTTTTTCGGCGTATGTTTTCTCTTCTTCCTTCTCCTCAACGATCAAATTCCCGACTTCCAATACTTCTTCCTCCTCCTCGTCTGCTATCTCTTCTTCAAAATCTACGGTTTTTGCTATTTCTTTCTCACCAACTTCAATCAACGCCTCCTTCATCGCAAGCTTTGTTGCTGGTGTGTCGTTTGCTCTGTATCGAGGGGCAGGCACAACAAACGGCAAACTGATATTGTCTAAATTTAAATGCTTTTCGTCTTTTCTTTCCGAAGGGGGGACAACAAAAACGATACCGAACTCATAGTTACAGATGTGGAGTCTCGAGCCTAATACGGATTTGCTTCTTGCATCTTCATTCGGCTTTACGCCAAGTGAACTGTGAATCGGACGACCCCAAGCGGCTGCGCTGAAGTTGTGTGAACCACAATAAACCCATCCGAATGAAGATGCATCAGTCCTAGATTGGAAGCGTCTTCTTGCTACCTGGTTTCAAAATATCGAGCATAGGCAGAGTCAGAGACGGATACAAAAAATCTCGAAGTGGGGCATAAAAAACGAATATAACATATAAAAGAAAAGAAAGACTAATTGTAAGAAAATACGGTTTAATTAAAAATGGCATACAAGTGGTTTTTTCCTTCGTTTCTGCTGCTATTACCAAAAGATTGAAAAAAGGGTCATGGGATTTCAACTCGCAATATATAATGCCACATACGATGACACTACCGATAGACTACAACCACTTATTGTTAACTTGCCGTTTACCAAACGCTTACTAGGTAAGTGCTTACCGGCAAGAGTCATCACTCTCATTTACATTATGGGGTAACATTCTCAGCCATCAAAATGGATTAATGGTAAGTGTTTATAACCTGGTAAGCGCTTTTTTTTTTTTGGAAAATCCCCAAGAATTGTGACTGCAAGAGATCACCTCTGATAAACTTAGTGGCCACAATTGTTGTGTACGCCTGGAATTAAACACTGAGCAGATAGGATATTCCACCACATCTCCAAGATCTCAACCACTATGCCACAACCCGTGTGGTTTAAGCAGTACCAGGTAAGAGTCGTCATCCTCAATTATCAGCTAAGACTCTTGATCTTTGCCTTCCTCTTACCAGGTAAGATTCTCGGTCCTTGTTATGTTTACCCTCACTGAATCGGTAAGCGCTTACCAAGGTAAGTGTTTAGTAAACGGGAACACATATCAAATGTCTAAAAGTGTGTGAAAAGAGAGATTTAACTCGATGAATAGTTTAGGGAAGTGTCAAATGTCTAAAATAACCTTCAATAATGACAAGAGAAATATCGTAGATTCGAATCCACACTGTAGATTTATATATGATGTTGACAAAAGACAGACAGATGGATAGATAGGGTCTTTGTACCTTGAAAACTTCACAAAAAAGGAAACGATCCAATTCCTCGTGGGATCTCCAAATTGGAAATTGGTGTAATTTTCATGAGACGGAGGAACTAAGAAAAATATACAAATGGGTACACAAGCAATAGAAACTCAAGTATTTCGTAGTTATTAGAACATGCGTCCACTTTGCATAAACAAAATATAGACAGCCGAGAGATGCAATCGATCTAAACTAAGCAACCAATATGTGAAATCTAAAAGGGAAATATTTGAAGTACCTTAACATGCATAGGGTGCCCAACCCTATCAAGAGGGCGAGGAACCGCATCATGAAGTATGCCCATATGTTTCAGCCTCAGCCAAGTTTTCTGTAAACAATTATGATTGGTCAACAAGTAACAAAGAAGCATGATCTAAACAGAAAGAAGAAAGACAAAAAGAGCAAAGTGTTTTTACATCAGTTTCCAAAATAGAGAAATACAACAATAAATATATTATCAGAATCATTAGTGTCGGTTGCCTAATATGATGATCTGAGATGTAGGTTTGGAAGCAATATATACGGATGGATTTGAACAGGGGAACCCATCCGAACCATCCATCTATGTTAATCCAACGGTTGTGAATAATAGAGGGGGTTACACGTTGCCAAAACTAAATCTATAATTACAGGGGTGGCTAAATTTGAAACCAGGTCATCTATTTTTCAGATCCAGCGGTTGATAGGGGTTCATTCTCTTTTTTGGGGGGTTCTCTCTTGAACTTCCCTCATATCATGTATTTTTTCCAAAAATAGGTCAAGTATCCTGCACTCTAGCAAGCTTGATTTATCATGATAAACATGTTCAATGCAGTTAAACTTCAGAAATTTTGAACCAAGTGAAAGATTCCATGGCTCAATAATGATCAACAAGGCCCAAAATAGGTGAAGCAAATCGAAAGATTAACTACAATTAATCAAAGTTAAACTAGTACTGTTCCTTCAAACAAAAGCAGAATAAATGCAACTAATAGAGTCAATATCCATCTCAATGACTTAGCTAGTGAAAAGGATGATCATCGTACCTGCGTGAAACACAGGATGTATTTTGACGCCAAGATTCCAGAACTTGCAGTTTTTACTCTCTCAATAGTAGGGAATATGATTCTGATTGACGGGTTTCTCAACTCTTGACTAGCACTCCAGCATCCCCACTGAAACAGGGAATAACGCTAAGCCCAAGTACGGAAATATTTCAGGTTATACACCTTCAGCAGTTTGCAGGGGAATACTACTTACATCTGGATCAGACTCTTCCGATTCAGAGAACATCATAGACCGCTTTCCAGTTGCCGCCGAAAACGCAGCTAAAAATGGTGCATTGATGGAACCCACAGAGGAAGAACCTTTGATTGGGGAACATAGCAACCAAAAGTTTGGTTATAAATTTCATATTAGTTTTTGTTCAATCATCAACCAAGGGTAAACTGGTCCAGGTAGGGTGGGCCAAAAAAGGATTCCATAGAAATATATGCACAGAATAAACGAAAAGTTCACAATGACAAAATCAGGGTTAATAATAAAATTACAAATAACATTCAGGTTCAATACACTCACCAAATGTGAAGTCGGTTTCGCAGTGCTCAGGCCATTTGTAGTGACCCAAAATCTAGAATACAACAAAACTTTGAAAGTCAGACAACATATGATATTACTGAGATAGTTCTTTTGTAATCGTACTGCCTTATGTCTCACAAAAAATGCCTCGTTTCCCTTTCTTAATCATTATAAAAGTAGTAGTATTTATTTTTCTAGATATGATTTGCTTTCATAAAGGGTATTTAGACATTGGGATGTAGTCAAGTATTTCATCTAATTGCAGGTCTGAGTAAAGAGCTGCAAACCACAATAAGTTTGTCAATTTTGAATCCATCTCTTGAGTTTCTCATCTTGCTAATTCTTCTAATAATGCCAAAACATAGACGGTGGATCTATTGTTGCTGAAGGTAACGGGAAGACATGTACCATTTATTCAAAATATAAATGCTGTTTCACAACAAAAGCAAACACCATCTCATGTATATAAGAATATGTGGGACCCCAGATTTACGCTCCGAAGAGCCCTTAAGGAGAGGAGAGATTCCAACATATATAGAAGAGAAATAGTCCAAGTCCAGTCGATGCGGGACTCTAATACGCTCCCTCCAACGAAGGCTAAACGGGCACAGATTGTCCCCAAGTGTCGAGAGGGGGCTAGATGGATGAGAGCTAGACGAGTACAGATTGCCCTAAAGTAGAGATCTTGGCTTTGATACCATGTAAGAATATGTGGAATGGACCTACATTCCAACATAAGGATGGTATTTCCAAAAACATGCAAGACCCAACATTTCAAGTAGAAGTTCAAGTATGGTTATGCAGCCAATACAAGATGTGTGATGGAATCTTCACCTAGCATTTTGTTGTTCTTCCCAATTCAACACCCATCACACATTCATATTTTTCATAACTCATTGATGAAATATCTTATTCATTGCTATGGGTCTTTAGCATATGTTATCTAACAATTGCTCCCACACTTTTAGTGTTCTTGCAAATGGTGTACCCAGTATGTGCACCTCATTCTTTGATTTTATTGGTCAAAAGAGATTTTATTTACTCAAAAGAGAGCAAAATAAAACAAAAAGAGTATAGAGTATAAGAGCCGGACCTCACAACTAAGAACTACCACATACATATCAAAACCTAATATTGTAGTTCAGATTGCATAACATATATACCAATTAAAGTATAGAGTTGGTGTCCAGTAAGAATAGTAGTTATCATGAGAAGTGTAAGAAGGGATCTCCACCCTTGGATATCCTAATTGAAGATCAATTGAAAATACCCTTCTGAGCTGATTCATGGGTTATTTTGGGACTTAATCTGAACCATTAGATCAACACTAATTAAAAGTGAATTAAGGGTCCAAATCCCTTCTTACACTTCTCACCTTAACTCCTATTCTCACACGATCCGTCGTCTTAAAGAATATTACCTCATGAAGTCGCCACAGGCCACAACACCTCTGAATAGATGCAACAAGAGAGCACATTGCAGAAGCAAGAACTGGTGGACTTAACTTTGATATGTTTAAAAATTTAGGTCCCTGCATAAGTTAAGACCAAAACTAGCATACATGACATTCAAAAAAGAGAAATATAACAATGGTATTGTCTGGTTAATATGGTTAAATAGCATTGCAGAATGCAGCTAAGAGTACAGCAAACACTAAAAGCAAACATGCCTGATGTACATATAGAATCAGGTGTACTTTGTTGTTGCTTCCTTCCAAAGCACAGGCAAGCACTTCATTTGGATTGATATATGCAGAGAAGGCAAACCAACCCACATCTGACAATGGAGCAACCCATTTTGCAACATCTCTGGGTAGAAAGCCAAGTTGAATGCAGCCTAGAGTAAGAAGTGAAATAACGCTTGCTTCACGAAATTACTATGATTCACAAAACATAAATATAGAAACATATCAAAAGAATCTTTTTTGCTTTAGCTTTCAAAAGCCAAGTTTCATACATAAGTTTTTTTATATTGAGCAGAAAGTTTATTTCTGCATGGATTTAATGAATATTGTACCACTGGTCCTTCCATTTTCAAACCCTCAAATAGTTCAAATTATCAAGTCAAAACTCGTTAAATAGGAGAAAAGCAAACTTCGAATGTCAAGAAAGTCTCATGTAATAATAAAACCTACCTCCCTCAGGGAATTCTTCAGATCTAGATATAGCAACACCTACAGCATTTGCATCAGCTGCTATATTCACATTTCTCCTTAAAATGACCTCCGACATCCCGTATGCATTGACACGACAATTTCCAAGGACACCAGCCAACTTTTTTATCAATGATCCATTTGAATCTCTTGAGGTTCGGAAAAGGTGGTTAATACCGACGACAGAAGCTTCAACAGAGCCAAGTAACATACATCCCAGAGATCGTGGCATACAACAATCACCCTGAAATAAATATAAACTTCCTTACTTGAGAAGCTACAATTTTTATCTAGCAGTGCACCACGTCTAGAAAACAAAATACACCCTAGAATACACATGCTCATTAGATCATTGGTCTTCTTTAAAGACGAGATTTCAATGGAACAAGAACACAAGGTACCAAATGCAACTATGATCTCTCCCAGCCAAATTGGTAAACACAAAAATGGAAGAACAATGTTGCTCTTGTTCAATAAATAACCATAAACTCAGATGGCCTACCATTCTAACAACACAAAATATGAGATTACTTGCCACATTTAGTTACACGTATACATTCATTTATTAATTTTATTTATAAAAAAAAATCATCCAACTGCTGACCACTTGGTTCAATTACTAATGTTACTAAGTAGCTGGCTCCCCAACTTACAGAAATCCACTACATAATAATATCTTTCACGGAATGAAATGTTATCAAGTCCAAATATAGATATCAAGTCAGTCAGCAGTCAGGTGAATAATGCAATGCAATGATATATATAGATAAATACCAGAAATACAAATCAAGATACTTACAGTTAAATAATGAAGAGATTTTGATATGTATGGGTGCTGAGGAGAATAAATCCCAGGCACAGAAGCAACCAGATGTCCAGCAGCATTGCTAAAGTCAAACTTTGCCAACTCTAATATCCAATGGGCCTGGTTAGGAGCATCGACTAATAGAGTTGCCATAAAACCAGCAAGCTGAGCAGCAAAATCAGATTTTAAATCTAGATTTACTTCCTCAGCAGATGATTGGGCAAAAAGAGATGTATAATCAGGAACATTCCTATGAGGAAAATCTTGCCACCAAACAGTATTTGTCACTCCTAGCCACTGCATTATCAGAAGATAAGTGTTAAGCAACACAGGTGTCTTCAAGGATATAGAGAACAAGGACAGAAGGTGACAAAAAAAGGTGTTGATCTGCAATATAGCTAAAGATGGTGATTGCCTGTCTAAGCTTTAGAGAAAAACCAGAAGTGGTAAGAAATAAACCTCCATAAGATTTAACTAGCACATTCTCACTAGTTGCCTCCCTCCCAACACTGAAACCCTCAAGTGCTCTTTTTCCCTACCAAATTGGATTTGTTTTATTTCCTTTTTGACATTATTTCCATCATCGTTGTTAAAAAACCCCCAGCTCATCAAAAAGTGATCGGCAAGAAAGTCACCTGTTTGGCCACAAGATTGGCAGAGGTGATGATTACACGGATACTATCATCTCTTTGCAGAACAAACAACTTTGGATGATGACAAGCAATGCCAAATTTCTTCCGGTCCTTACTGAAGGATATAACCTCAGGAAATTGGGGGTATCTGACACCACAAAGAAATGACATTACCGAATAGTTGGTGCCTAATCATGTTTAACAAGTCATAGCCATCAACTTCTCCATTCAACTTACATAACAACTAAGTTCGGAAAATCTGAGGAAGGATTTAGAGTTCTTTTGTCAGGGCTTGGATCCCAACACCTCTCAGCATTATGGCAAGCAATTGATACTGGGAGATGGGGAGGAATCTCACAGTAAGATAAAAACCTACAAAGATATAACCCTTTAAAATGAGAACATGCATGCATTCAAAAAATGAGTAGCTGTCTGAAGAATTAACCATATCTCCAAAATTCAAATATATAGATCCCCATTCTGCAAGCCCTTGTAACAGCGCAACCAATGCCACAAAAAGGTACCAATCAAGTTAAGAGTTGAACATACACATATCCAACTTATACTGATACCCAATTTATGAGCCTGAATACCGAGCTGAGCAAACCCATTTAGAAAATCTTCAAATGGTGCTGACTTACTTTATGCAAGTAATATCTTGTCAAATTATGTTTGACAACATGCACCTTTTTGCTAAATAAACCCTATCTAGGAACAACATGACAGGAATACAATAATTTTTTTAGAAATTTGTAGGACTTACCATGATAAATCACTTGTGAATGTTGCAATGAAAACCCGTTCAAGGGTTTCAACAGGATAAAGAAGCTCCGGTAACGTGACATTAACTTCATCCGATTGACCATCGTCCATAAAATGAAGGCGGTTCAAATAGAATTTATTCCCAGGCGGGGGAACACAAACACCCCTCTTCTTCGGTTTTAAAAGTTGGCTGGCTTGAATAATTTTCTCTTCACAAATATAATTTTCCCTTTTGTCAATAGAAATACCTCCCCCTAAAGGGTCTGAGGTCTTTACTGATTCTTGTAAATGTCCACCATTGACTCTACAATGTAGCAACTCTGCATTCGACTCTGAAGCTATACAATTCGGTCTGAATGATGTATCTAGATCCAAGAGTGGCACATAAGACAAAAAATTCGTATTATTATTATTACTATTACTACTATTATTAATGGCTAAGCCTTCACAAGAATGGAGCTCACGTCCAACACACGGAGAGTGTGATAAAAAGTTGTCCGGAGTAAAACAGGAATTGCCTTTAACTCTGTTTCTACTAACGTATTTAGCCCTTAACTTGCAAGGGTTGGTAAAACATTCTCTAATATACAACACAGGATCATCACTAGATAGTATCTGTTTACACTCACTTGAAAGCAGACCCGCATTAGCAAGCTTACCACTACCTAATTCACCTGTAACGTTATAGGGAAACAAATAGTCTTGCTTGGAGTTGGATAGATTTCTATCGATAACTTCCTCCATGAAAACAATTCTCTCCACAGAAAACCCAATACGACCCCCAACACTACAAACACTTTCATCTCCGCAAACAACAGAAACCTCACTGCCTGCACCGACCTCTTTAATCTCTCCATTTCCAACTCTAATACCATCAACAAATACTCCATTTAAAGATGCCCTGACTCTAGAGCCCTCACCTGATCTTAAAAACAAAACTCCATCTACAACAAATACTTTCTTACGGTATACATCAAAATAAATTTGACAATGTTCCTTACTGACTTGCCGGTCTTCAAATGTATAATCACAGCGGCGAGGATCTCTTCCGATCGTGCAGGGTTTGCACGGCTGGAGATGGATTAAATCAACCGATGAACCTGTGGATTTCGATATCAGCGGAGTACAGAAGGCCTTTATGTGTATAGATGCTGTGCTGGAGATGGTGGGTTTTGGTTTTTTAATCGGGGAAACTGACGAATTGCATAAATTGCCATCTGATCGGAGTCTTTTGATAGGGTTTTGAAGTGAATAATCTGAATTTTTCATGCTACTCCCATACTAGAATCAAAACCCTAAATTACAAACTCAATTAGGAAATCATGTATGTTAATTATCGAAAGAATCGACGATTAACATACAGAAACCTTGGAGAGCAGAAGTTGAGTCGACGATTCGGAGAGACGTGAACTGTAAACCGCCAGATTTTCAAGTGTCCGAATGATTTTCCCTCCAGTTTCATCAAATTGGGGGTTTACTTTTTATACCCTCGTTTGGGCCTAATGGGCCTAGGAGTATTTTTCATTTATTATTTGAATTTTGATTTAGTTTTTGGATTATTTGATTCGATTATTAGGTCGGAAGCAATTGGAATGAAATCTGTCAAAAGAATTTGAATATGTCCTTTTAGTTATTCAAATATAACGATGGCACTGGCAGCAGCTCTTGACTGCCCGACCTATGGGACTCTCGGGGTATGATTAGAAGCACTCTGCTTTATGTTCTTTTTGGCGCTCCCCTTTTCTAAGGGGGAGCACGAGATCTGTTTTGGTCTGGTCTTCTTTTCTCTTTTGAGTCAGGTTCTTATGACAAGACATCTGTGATTACGTCATCTCCCTTCCCGGATACACAAGTTCTGCAAAAATTGGAGGGAAGGACAAAGAATTTTAAAATGAGAACTATTATACACTCTGGTAGCTTGGACCATAGTTGAGCTTCCTACTCCTTCTATTAAAAGGACAATCAAGAGTCGGTGCAGCTCTTGAGTGCTTTATGGGCTTCTCGAGGTACGAGTTCAATCGTCAATCAGCTACATACCGTGCTCCTCCCCGAGAAATTCAGGTTAAATTCTTTTCCCGAACCCCTTCGTATTACTACCTTTAAGAGAAAAGAGTTTCGGTAGAAGATGACGCATATGGTCTAGAATGTGATATCCAGCTCACCCACTCGCCTACAAATGATGGAGGCGGTAATGGTGTCGATGGTGATGACTGTGGTGATAGTGGCGGCGGTGACAATGATGGTGGCGGTGGCGACAATGATAATAGTGGTGTTGGTGACAACGAATGTGGTGGTGAGGACGAAGGTAATAATGGTAATGACATTGACTGCAATTGTGTTGGTGGTGGCGATGAAATTTGTTTCATGTTTCTTAACCAAAATGAAATCGGTTTCATTGTTTATAGCCAAGATGGAATTGGTTTTATCAATGAAACATTTCAAGACCTGAATACTATTATTTCAATGAAAGTAGTTTCATGGTTCATAACCAAGACGAAATTAGTTTCATTTTTGAAACATTTGAAAAACTATATAACATGGTTTAATTAATGACATTTGTTTTACGAATTCATCTTTCATGTATTGTTTTGTTTTCATTCGTAAAACAAAGCGTCATTAATGAAACCATGTTATACCAAATAGGGGTGAGCAGCGGAACCGGGTACCCGGCTATGGAACCGGAACCGTCGGTTCCGGAACCGGAACTGATATGAGTGGTTTCGGTTCCGGTTCCTAAAATACGGAACCGATTGAAAATGGTTCCGGTTCCAGTTCTCAATTTTTCGGAACCGTTACCCGCCGGGTACCCGGTATTTTTAAATAAAAAATTATTATTATTTTTTAATACCAAATTTATATTAGGTTTACATCTTGAAAGCACGCCGTCATCTTCATTCTTCATCTAAATTATTCGTATAGAATGATTCGTATTTTTTTTAAATTGTGTGTTCACTTTGATTCATAGTATGTAATCGTTAAACTTTGAAAATTTACCATTATAGTATGTAATCGTTAAACTTTAAACATTTTATATTAGTCTATTATGGTTTGTAATCGTTAAACAATATTTGTAACCATTATTATATATAATTTTAAATTATTGCTTATTTATTTAGTGTTTTTGGCAACGTTTTATTTTTTATTTTTAAATAACAAAATTTTAATATTTTAGGAAGCGGTTCCGGTTCCGGTTCCAGTTCCAAAAATTTAAGAACCGCTCTAACTGGTTCCGTTTCCGGTTCCAATATCTCAAGAACCGCTGGTTCCGGTTCCGGTTCTGGTTCCGGTTGCTGTCAAAAAGGGCGGGTACCCACCTATGCTCACCCCTCATACCAAACACTTACTTTGTCTAGTTTTACCTTGTCCAGTAGTGTCTCATCCTATCCTATTGTCCTGTCTAGTCCAATCATATACGTTAACTACAAACCAAACACCTTATCATTTTTTAAAACCAATGCTCTCTTAATATAAAACAAATGGGCATCTAATTGGCCCAAATATTCCTTGTTTGTTTATTTCACTAATGGGCTTGGTATTTGGGCCCAATTTATTTATTTTTCTTAACTCGTATTTATATCATACCCATTAAGATAACAGATAACAGATAACAGAATTGATAATAGATAAACAATAAAAATATTTTAAGTTATACTAGAAGGGTACTTGTGCAATGTAGCGAGATACATCTTAATTTTAATATTTTATTTTATTTTTATCTCAATCGATGTTATAATATGGTCTTATGTAATTTTGAAAAAACGATTATGTTTTTATTTTTGAATAAAATATAAATTTAAAGATATCATAAAATTTTAACAAAAGTATATCRATATTAGTATCAAATTAACTATTTAAAATTTCTCATATTTTGTGTAATTTTGTAATGCAATTTTTTTATTATAAATTAATTTAAGTTAAATAACGAAGTAATTTATATTTGATTTAATAATATAATTTTCTTATAAATATAATAATTAATTATTTTTTTAGACCTCGATAATTATCCTAATTANTATATATATATATATATATATATATATATATATATATATATATACTAGAAGGGTACTCATGCAATGCAGCGAGATACATCTTTTAATATTTTATTTTATTTTTTTATCTCAATCATGTTATAATGTCTTATGTGATTTTTAAAAAACGATGATGTTTTTATTTTTGAATAAAATATAAAGTTGAAGATATCATAAAATTTTGACAAAAATGTATCGATATTAATATCAAATTAATTATTTAAAATTTCTCATTTTTTATGTAATTTTTTAATTATAATTTAATTTAAGTTAAATAACGAAGTAATTTATATTTAGTTTAGTAATATAATTTTCTTATAAAGATAATAGTTAATTATTTTGTTAGAAATCGATAATTATGCTAATTATATTTTAGATTTTTTTTATTTTAAAATAAGATGTTTATTCTCTATTTGATTATGTTTATCAGCAGTTAGTTACACGAATCCAAACATGTAGCTTTAATAAGTTGTACTAATGCATAATTTACTTGTAATCATGAATTTTAAATAATATGCAACAATATACAGTACTTCATGGATAAAAAATATTTTTTAAGAATTTTTGTCAAATGTTTTATAATATAGTATAGATATAATATTGCTAAAGGCAATGGTTCAAATGAGAACACGAGCGATTTACACAATTGCGATTTGCGAGAACACTTGTAAGCTCATCATTATGTTTTAAGTCAAAAAATTAGAGGGATTGATAGAGCAATAATATATATATATATATAGAGAGAGAGAGAGAGAGAGGAGTCTAATCAAATGAGAACTAATTAGTTTGTGGTAACTGTGAGAACCAATATTAACCACAAATCAATAAATAAATTAGGAAATTTATAATTTTGGCAATTTTGAATTAAAATTTTAATGCAACGATATTTTTGGTATTTTACAACTTTCCTCCCTTCTCTCTTCTCTCTCCGGCCACCGTCCTCCGGTGATACTACAATGGTATCGCAATGCATCATATATGTGCTTGGGTATCACATTGATGTCGTTTGTGTGGTCGATTGAAGATGTAACACTATGGTATCACTATGCATCTTATATATGATTAGGTATCACAATGTATCTTTTGTTTAACAGAGTTAATATTTTTAGGTATCACAGTGGTATCACCGGAGGACGGTGGCCGGAGGC